CCCGCCGCCTGCCAGCCCGCCGGCGGCTGGCGAGGCGGCGTCGGCGGCGTTGCAGAGCGTCTCCTGCGCATGCGCAGGAGACGCTCTTGCACTTTCGGGGGGATTTAAACATCCCCCCGAAATTTTTTTAAACTTTTTGTATTTTTGTGCACACGTGGGGACTGGCCCACGTGTGCACAAACCTCCCCCGGCCCCCCAGCTGCCCCCTCCGTGCTGATTTAAGTATCCGCACGGAGGGGGCAACTTGGCTATTAGATATATAGATGTGGCTGACATTTAAGAAGTGGGCTAACAACAAAAAGTTAGGTCCACTGAAATCTACCTACAAAGACATCATTCTTTTTCTACATGACATCTGGAAACAAGAATTGAAGCCTAATACTTTAAAAGAGGCAGGTGGCAGCTCTTGCTGCTGTTTTGGGCCATAAGAGATTGTGCAACTTGTCATCCCATAGATTTATAAGGCATTTCCTTAAAGGAATTATGCAATTGGCTCCCCCTATCTGACACAGGTTTCCTACATGGAATCTCTCCAAGGTACTACAGGCCCTAATAGAAACACCTTTTGAAACTTTAATCAGAACTAAAACTTCATTCTTGGAAAATAGCATTCCGAGTAGTGATTACTTTGGCTCGAAGGATTTCGGAATTAGGGGCCTTATCCATCAGGAAAGAACTGCATTTTTAATAAGGAAGGATTCCATTGTACTGAGGATGGATCTTTCCTTTGTGCTGAAAGTAAGTCTGTTTACCATGCTAATCAGCAATTTGTACTACCTTCCTTTTGCCCAATACCATTTCACCCCAAGGAACATGCGCACGGTCCTGCACATCTATCTAAAGAGAACAGTTAAGAACATAAGAGACGCCAATGTTGGATCATACCAAAGGCCCATCCAGTCCAACACTTTGTGTCACACAGTGGCCAGAAATACCAGTGCCATCAGGAGGTCCACCAGTGGGGCCAGGACATTAGAAGCCCTCCCACTGTTGACCCCCCCCCCCCAAGCACCAAGAAGACAGAGCATCACTTGCCCCAGAGTTCAGATAAGACTTCACAGGTCCTCTGTGAATGAAGCATTTGTGTCTTATAGCTCACAGGCTTTGGGTAAAAAGGTATCTGAATCTAACATTGCTCTATGGATCAAACTGTGTATTCATAAGGCATATGAAGTGCTAGTATTGAGACTCCCAAGGGGCACTACAGCACACTCCACCAGATCCACAGCAACATCAGCAGCATTTTCCACTAGAGCCCCAATGGAAGAAATCTGCAGAGCCGCAACCTGGTCTACCTTTTCTACTTTTGTGAGACACTGTAGGATAGAGATCAATTAGATTCTGTGGATGCATCATTTGATAGAAGGGTTGTGCAACAAGTGGTGGAATAAAAGGGAAAAATAAATAAATGAATGAATGAAAGCCCCACCCATGAAGTCAGCTTGGATATGTAACCAGCTGGGATGACTTTTCTCCACCGAAGGAGAATGAAACATTGGAACCTACCAGGAGGTTTCCTCTCTTCAGTGGGGCGAAGTCATCCACTTCCCACCACCACAAAAAAGTTAATATGATATACAGCTGGACATAGGACCTACTAAGGAGCTGGGCTATACTAGGACTGGAAGGTCAGCCTGGATCTGATCCAGTCACAGCCTTGTAGAAATTTGCATAGCCCTGCCTGGAGCAAGAGGAGGCGTGACCTAATCAGCTTCGATGACTGCCTCACTGAAGAGAAGAAACTTTCAGGTAGTTTCCAATGTTTTGTTCTCATGCAGCACTTTAAAAAAATCAAAGTCAGGCCCAGGAGGCTGTATAGAGCCAGTGAAATGCTCATTGGAATATATGTAATCAGGGCTATTTTGGGGCAGGAACGCACAGGAACGGAGTTGGCCATGCCCAGCAGGAACTCATTAGCATAATAGGCCACACCCAACAGCAGAAACTCATTAGGATTGGCTACATTAGGGGTGTATGGCCTAACATGCAAAGGAGTTCCTGCTACAAAAAAGCCCTGGGTTTTGACAACAAGGTAAACAGAATAACAAGCAAAAGGTGGGTGTGGCTGAATAACCACACTTCTGGTAACATGGGGGTGAGGCCTAATGTGCTAATGAGCTGTGCTGTCGGGGGTGCATCCCAATATGCTAATGAGTTCCTGCTGTTGGGTGTGGCCTATTATGCTAATGAGTTCCTGCTGGGCTCTTTCTACAAAAAGAGCCCTGTTAGAACATAGTAACAAGCACCAGACGTTTTACTTAGTAATCTACTTACATTACAATACTCTAATTTTGGATAATTTGGCAGTAGTAATAGTAGGGTTTTTTTTAAGGAGACCCATTGATTTGCAATTCAGCATAAATTACCATTTTCATACACTACCAGGTCCAATATACTATCCGTGATGCCTACCCAGAAGTTCCTACAGACAATCATTTGTTGCAAAACCACCATTGGCCTGAATAATAGTTTTCAACCCAGGCTTTGCATTTGCAGACAGACCCTTTCTAGATTTGGGTAAATACTAGATAAGTCCATGGATGCCTCCTGTGTTTCCTGTGGCCAAAGAGGGTAGGCCCACCTGAGGCTGGTCTATATATGTGCTTTCCTTGGGCCGCTCCAACATTCTTAGTCAAGCACACAGTCTCAGTTTTGGCTGGCTCTGCCCTCCCGCCATCTGTGGCCAAACCCTGCCCTTCCTCATTCATTCAGGGGGGGGGGGGCTTCTATTAGTGCATATGCGCAGTTCCTTTTTTATGTTCTTCTTTCTGTAATGTCCTCATATTTTATAACAGGGATCCTAACAAAGCCTGACTTGGTGGACAAAGGAACTGAAGAGGCTGTTGTGGATATAGTGAGAAACTTGATCATCCATCTGAAAAAGGGATATATGATTGTGAAATGTCGTGGACAGCAAGATATCCAGTCCAACTTGGACCTGGCCTCTGCAATCCAGAAAGAAAAAGCATTCTTTGAGGATAACAGACACTTCAGGTACTTTTTGAACAGATAACCTTGTTTGTTTCCCACCTACTGTCAACATCTTGTGCAGCAATTGCTTCCACAGTTGAATTGTTCTTATCATGTTAAAGTTGAAAAAACTGGGTATAGCACCCATGTGTGGAGGACACTCTTAAAGAAAAAGAGAGTCTCTTCTCTCCTTAAAACCCCCCATATGTGTTCAGGAGCTGCACATCCAGAGGGCCAGGCCATTACAGAGAATGGGAGGTCTGTGTGTCCCCCCCCCCCTATCCTCCTTCATTGACTCAAGGAATGCAAGGTCCAAACATGAAGTCTTTATGTGAAGGAAAGAGAGCAGCCTAGATCAGGATATGGGAAGTACATGCCTCTGACTCTTGGACTGGCCATGTGCAGTGTTTTCATGACCCCCTCTGTGTATGTGCGCATGCGCACATAGCAAGGAACAGAACTTGTTTATCTTATCAGTTTGGTGTAGTGGTTTAATTCGTGGACTCTAATCTGGGAGAACCGGGTTTGATTCCCCACTCCTCCACTTGCACTTGCTGGATGACCTTGGGCAAGCCATAGTTCTGGCACAGCTGTTCTTGAAAAAGAGCAGTTTCTATCAGAGCTCTCTCAGCTCCGCCTACCTCACAGGGTGTCTGTTGTGGGGAGGGGAAGGGAAAGGAGTTTGTAAGCCACTCTGAGACTCCCTTGGGTAGTAAAGGGTGGGGTATAAATCCAATCTCCTCCTCCTCGTCCTCCTTCTCTTTAAACTACCAGAGGTTCAGATTTAAGTGAATAATATTTTTCCTGCAAAAAAAATAAATAAAAATCCTATCATAAGAGGTTATAAATCAAAATCATTTTCACTTTTACATGGCATTAGCTAATCATCTCCCTTATCAATAAAAGCCGAATGGTGGTGGCACTTCTCTAGAACATTCCACACGCTCCAAAATCAGAGGGTCTCCCTATCCACTGGCTGCTTTGCCTGAGTCCTGCCTCCAACATTCTAAACATTTTGCTCTTCCTCTCCCCCCCACAGCCAGTCAGAACACAGAGGTTATTTGCATATGCAGCCTCATTGGCCTCTGCTTCGGAACACAGAGGTCGTTTGCATATGTGACTTGATTGGCTTTTGCCTCTAACATTCTAAACAGTTTTGCTGTTCTGAGGTAAAATGTGCCCAATCTCCAGGTGAGGGCTGGAGATCACTCAGAATTACAATTGCTTTCCAGATGGCAGAGATCATTTCCCCTGGAGAAAATGGTGGGCTCTGTATCCTTATATGCTGCTGAGGTGGCCCCCGTATGACAGCCAATGTGACATAGCAGTCAGGGCTTCAGAGCACGGGAGAGGCTGCAGGTGTATGGGGGGTGGAAAGCTGAAGAGTGAGGGGAAAATAAAGGTAGGGTGTTGATTGGCTGGGAAGGAGATAGGGTTGCCAACTCCAGGTGGAAAATTCCTGGGGAAGTGAGGGATGGAGCCTGGAGAGGGTGAGGTTTCAGGAGGCGTGGGACCTCGGACAGGTACAAAGCAATAGACTCCACCCTCCAAACCAACTATTCCCTTCTGGGGAAACATCATTGCCAATCTCCAGGTGAGGGCTGGAGATCACTCAAAATTACAACTGTTCTTTAGGTAGCAGAGATCAGTTCCTCTGGAGAAAATGGTGGACTCAGTGTCATTATACCCTGCTGAGGTCACCACAGCAAATTGACACTGAGTGTCCAAGGCCGGGGCACCCGCCCAGAGCCTCTTTCTAGAGGCCGTTGTATTTATTTCCACAATGGGCCTTTTTTCTAGTTTTCTATACTGTAATTTTGCATGTGCATTGGTGTAGATTTAGAGCACATTCATACTGATTGCCCCATTCATTTCAGCAGTGGCCAATCTGCATATGCAAGGGAATGAACACACCAGATCTCCTGCCCCTTTTGATATGCCTGAGACAATCTAATTGGTCCACTGGATATTTTCTGCAAACGTAATCTTCATATTTACTAATGAATATTTTTTGTTCCCCCTACAGAATCCTTCTGGCTGAAAAAAGAGCCACAATTCCCTTACTAGCTGAGAAACTTACAAGTGAACTTGTGGAGCACATTAATGTAAGTGAGCAAATAACTAGATGTCAGTATTTTGTCATCAGTATTTGACCTTGTTAAAAAAAACGATTCAGTAAACCAAATGGTCTTTTTTTACTCAAGACCAGATTTCCCCCCTTTCTCTCATAGAAATCTTTGCCCAATTTAGAAGAGCAAATAAACACACAGCTCCAAAAAGCAAATCAAGACTTGCTGAAATATGGGAAAGGAATGCCAAAAACTGAAGGCGAGAAGCTCAATTTTTTAATAGAAGTAAGTACCGGCATATAAATCTTAATAGATTCGTAGGACAATCCTAAATAGAGTTAAACCCTTCTAAACCCACTGACTTCATTGGTCTTAGAATGTTATAATTCTGTTATGGATTGCACTTTGTGTGTTAATATTTTATTAGGCCATTGCCTGCTAATATTGGAAGTATACAGAACTGTTAATCAATCTGAAATGGAAGGTAACAGGATACCAAATAAAAGATGTGTTACAATATTTTAGTTCCTAATTCTTTATAAACCTAACATCGATATAATTTTCCAAATTCTCTATTGAAAAACTCAGTGCAATGCAAAACTCTACAGAGTCCTGTGCCTACAGGAATAGATTTAATAAAGTTAGCACCTTATCTGTTTGTGAATTCTTTTCTGAGATCCACAATTATTGTAGCTGGATACATTGAACTACTCTTAGTACTCCTAAATATGCAAATGTCCCTAAAATCAATGTGTTTTTTTTCCTTTTAAGATCTCTATTGATTGCTTTGAGTTGTTGGTTTTTGTTTCAAATTAATTTTTGATGTAAAAGAAACAAATTGCTAGCTTTTTGGTCAGTATTCAGATCCTTGGGAGGATGGGTTGAGAGGATGTCTGGTAGGAGAAATCATCGATCATTTGCCTGATTGTTATGATGTTTTTGACTAATGAAAATGATTAGCATTTAAGGATGGGCACAAACTGGCTCTTTATGTTCATGATGAATTTTGGCCAGTTTATGGTTCGCAGTTCACAAACCAAAGTTCGCAAACTGAAGAGCCACCACAAACAGTTCATGGCAGAAGAGTTTGCAACCCGAAGACCCGGTTTGTATTGGTTTGTGGTTTGGCCACAAACTGAAATGAACTTCAAAAATGCTGAAAGAAACTGGCAACAAACTTAACTGTTCTGTCATCAGTAGCTGTATTGCACTATGTTTTTTTTTTATGTTTTGCCTTTGTAGAAAATCAAACTGTTTAATGAAGATATCATAAATTTAACACAAGGAGAAGAAAAATTGTCTGAAAATGATACCAGACTTTTCACCAAAATTCGTAAAGAATTTCAGAAATGGGAGAAAAAACTTAATGAGAGTGCAGTAAAGAGTAAGTATAGATCAGCTGGTGTGCAGGCAAGTTGTGCAGGTGGCATAGTAGGGGCTTGCATGGGTGAGTTGTGAGTTGGCAGCTACCAGGCTCAGCTAAGCTGCACAAATTGCATAGTAGCAAATTGACTGAGTGAGTTGTGCAGCAGTCACTGAAAAGCCTGGCCAAGTTGCCCAAGTGACAGAAAGTTGCCTGGTGGAGTCATGCAGTAGTCGTCACCAGGACTGGCTTAGACAAGTCCTCCCTCCTTCTGTTTGGCCTTTCAGTCCACCTCTACTCCCTGTGTTTAACTGACAGAAACCAAGAAGGGTTGTCAATACTGGGGGTTTGTGTATGGAATGGGATGGAATGGAATGAATGTAGTGAGCTTGAATCTGACAAGGCATTGTAAAACGACCTATCAGAACAAAGGAAGTTCTGGAGGGAAGAGAAATGATTGGTCTTTATGTACAGTTTATGATTGCACCTTATCTGACTTGGGGGCATGGCTTGCCAAGCCCAGATAGTTTAAAAAGGAGCCTGCTGCTCTATTGATTTGTCTTGTTCTGGTTGTTCTGACTTCATGTTCAATAAAGCTGTTAATCACTGTTCATCTGCTGCCTGAGTCTCGTATCTAACAATTGGTGATGAGGATGGGATTATAGAGCGGGTAGGCAGCCCTGCTGAACCAACGGCAGGACGGCGGACGATCGAGAAGCCCCTGAGGAACCCAGGGCAGAAGAACGAAACCCGGCTGATCAAGCAGCTGCAGCATTTGTGCTAGTGCGGGCACAGAGAGCAGTGATGGCCGTCAACCTAAGGTTCGAGGCATTCGAACCCGACCTCGAGGACTGGGATTCCTACCTGACCAGGTTCGAGTTCCATCTCCAGGCTAACCAGATCGAGGGTAAGGACCAGCAGAAGGCGACGCTCCTCAGCTCTTGTAGAAGGGCTGTTTTCAACCTTGCTCGGTCCCTGGTTGTTCCGGCTGACATCAAAACTGTGTCCCTGGCAGACCTAAAACTGAAACTGCAGGGGCATTTTGCACCACAACTCTCGCAGACACGCATTTTACAAGTGGTCCCAGGACGCGGCCGAGATGGTTGCCAAGTACATATTAGCATTGCGGAAGGCTGCCTGCCCGTGCAACTTCACCAACCTAGAGGAAGCGCTCCTCGACCGACTCGTATGTGGCATGAGGGACGAGAACTTACAACAACAATTGTTCGCATGAATGGCTCTCACCTATGCCATGGCCTACTTCGAGGCTGTCGCCGCTGAGGCCACTGAGAAAGCAACCCAAGAAGTGTGTCAAAACTTGGTTCCAATCCAACAGGGGGCCAACAAAGCTGTACACCATGAATCAACGAGCGAGTCCAAGGGTGAGCATGATGACGTCAACCAGTCTCGTACTCTGAGGCCCAAGCGGACCCAAGTGAAAACGGTGCCATGACAAACCTGTGCCGGATGCGGTGGTGAACACGAGCGGGATGAATGCTAGGCGAAGGACATCGTTTGCTGGTCCTGTGACAAGCGAGGCCATTTGGCCAGAGTCTGCAGGGCAAAGAGGAAGACACCACCATCGTCTCCTCGTGAAAGGCCCTGGGTTTGAGGCAAGGACAACACGAGGTCTACAGATTGTCATCTGACCAGCTGCGGTTCCTGCCCTTTGACCATCCTGAGGACTGGATCGTGAGCAAAGATGAAGATCCACGTCACCGTTTGCTGAATGGAGTACCATGCGAGATGGAGGTCGACTTGGGATCATCAGTGACCGTCATTTCATCTGAAACCTTGCAACGTTTGTTTCTGCGATGGAGTTGTCGGCATTTGCAGCTGAGCACCACCCATCTTTCTGATTTTCAGGGAAGGCGCATCCCTGTGGCTGGCAAAGCCACATTTGAGGTACAATTCAAAGGGTTCAAGGAGTCTCTGAGTCTCCTTGTTGCCAAGGGGCGCTGAGCCAGTCTGTTGGGCTTAGACTGGTTTGAGGCCCTCAGAATTGCAATCAGTGGTATTAACCAAGTCAATGCAAATAAATTGAATTCACTGTATGTGGAATTTGCAGATGTGTTTGATAATACTCTGGGAATGTATAGGGGGCCACCTGTAACGTTTGACCTAGATCCTGCTGTAGTGCCTATACGGCTTAAATATTGCAAGGTACCAGTTTCTCTGAAATCACGTATAGAGGCCGAGCTAGACAAGCGAGTGTCTCAAGGTGTGCTTGAACCATTGTCACACTAGAAATGGGAGACCCCTATTGTGACACCTGTAAAACCTGACGGGTCTATCCGAATATGTGCAGATTACAAATACACACTCAACAAGGCTCTGCAGCAATACTCTTACCTAGTCCCCGTAATTAGTCATGTGCTGGCGTCATTAGGGGAGGGTAAAGTCTTTGCCAAACTAGATCTGGCACAAGTCTATCAACAGCTGCCAGTAGACCCCCAGGCCGCCATGGCACAAACCATTGTCACGCATAGGGGTGCGTTCAAAGTGAACTGTTTGCAGTTTGGTGTGAACGTGTCCCCAGGCATATTCCAGGGCTTAATGGAGGGATTGTTAAGGGACCTGCCCGGGGTGGTCCCCTATTTCGACGACGTGTTGATTGCAGGCTGGTCTGAGGATGAACTAGCAGAATGCCTCAGTTCCATGTTACGTTTGTTTCAAGAGGCTGGGTTGAAAGTAAAGAGAGCTAAGTGTCATTTAGGAGTACCCAGTGTGAAGTTCTTGGGGTTCCAAATCAACGCTGATGGTGTCTAACTGACTGAGAGAAAGGTACGGGCCACCCAAAACACCCCGAAGCCTAGTTCTAAGAAGGAATTGCAATCCTTCTTAGGCATTCTGAACTTTTACCATGCATTCCTGCCCCATAAGGCGTCAATAGCTGAACCAATCACCTCCTCAACAAGGGGGCAAAGTGGGAATGGGGCCCTCAGCATGTCCAGGCTTTTACCGCCATTAAATAGCTGTTGTCATCAGAGGCGGTCCATACCCACTACGACAAGGCCAAGCAACTGGTTTTGGCGGCGGATGCATCTCCATATGGGGTGGGGGCTGTGTTGAACCACATACTGGCTAACGGCAGGGAGGCACCTATTGCCCATTACTCGTGGACACTAACCCGGCTGAAAGAAACTATGCCCAAATAAACAAGGAGGAGTTGGCGCTAGTGGCCGGCGTAAAAAAGTTCCATGACTTTTTGTATGGTAGACTGTTTGTTATGGCCACAGTCCACAAACCCCTCCTTGGGATCTTTGCGCTGGACTGCCAGACACCCCATGTATTGTCTGCGCGGATGTTACGATGGACGGTTTTTCTCTCCGCATATGACTATGTTCTGGAGCACCGGCTGGGACGAAACATGGGGCATGCAACACCCTCAGCCGCTGCCCCCTGCCAGAACTGGACAATGACCCTGCACCGGCTTACGAGGTAATGGCCCTCGAGGAACTGGCCAAACCTCCGGTGCAGGCGTCGGACATTGCAACCGCCTCCGCCCGGGACCCCACCATCGCCAGCATTCTTAACTGGGTATGGAGGGGGTGGCCGGTGGGGCAAGTAAAGGACTGCTTTAAGCCGTTTGCATCACGGCAAACTGAATTATCTGTACACCGGGGATGTTTGCTATGGGGCAACAGGGTGGTGGTTCCCCCAAAACACAGGGAACAAGTGTTAGAGGCTCTGCACGAATGCTACCCCGGCATCATGCACATGAAGGGACTGGCCAGAGGGTATTTCTGGTGGCCAAAGATAGACGCGGACATAGAGTCCTCGGTCCAGAAATGCCCTGAGTGTCAACAGTCCCGGCCTGATCCCCCACAGGCACCAGTAACGCAGTGGGAGAAATGCCACCACCCATGGTCAAAAGTCCATGTGGACTTTGCAGGCCCTTTTCAAGGGCAAATCTTTTTGATTGTACTAGATGCTTACTTGAAGTGGCTCGAGGTTGCCCCCACATCCAAAATAAAAGCACAAACTGTGATAAATGTATTGAGGAAACTGTTTGCAATGCACGGGTTGCCAGACACTCTGGTGTCTGACTACGGGACATGCTTCACGGCCAGTGAATTCAAAGAGTTTTTGGCGGCAAACCTCATCACCCACCACATGTCTGCACCATTCCACCCGGGAACCAACGGGCAAGCCGAAAGAATGGTGCGGACTACAAAGGAGACTTTGGGTCGTTTGGTGCAGGGAAACTGGGGGCAGAAGGTTGCGTCCTTCTTGCTGCACCAACACATCACACCGCACTCTGTGACGGGGTGGAGTCCGGCTGAGCTGTTAATGGGCCGACGCCTTACCACCTTGCTAGACTGTATGCACCCGGACTTAACCTCTGCCAGGCCACCAAACAGTGAGTCAACTGAACAACCCAGGGTGTTTACTGAGGGTAAATGTGTATTTGCAAGGAATTACGGTAGTGGTCATAAGTGGTTACCAGGCACAGTAACCCATGTCCTCAGGTCCCGCCATTACACAGTAAAGCTTAATGATGGCTGAGTAATTAAGCGCCATATAGATCAGTTGCACAAGCGGTGGGCTGACTCAGTCCCTGATTCCCTTCCCCCGGTGGCCAATGTACCTGACTCGGACAGTCAGGTAGAGTCTCCAGACTCCGAACTGACTGAGGGCTTCCAAGCACTGGAACCCTCAGGCATAGTCGAGGGCGGGCAGAGCCATGACTACAGTCCCATTCGGAATCAGACTGAACCCACTTACAGGGAGCCTGAAGTTTTTCCTCCTTCCCCTCCTACGGTAAATATAAGACGATCCCAACGGGTCAAGTAGCATCCTGCTTATTTGAGTGATTATGACTGCTCAAGGGTTGTCTCGTCTTAGGGGGGAGGATTGTTGTGTATGGAATGGAATGGAATGGAATGGATGTAGTGAGTTTGAATCTGACAAGGCATTGTAAAACGACCTATCAGAACAAAGGAAGTTCTGGAGGGAAGAGAAATGATTGGTCTTTATGTACAGTTTATGATTAGACCTTATCTGACTTGGGGGCATGGCTTGCCAAGCCCGGATAGTTTAAAAAGGAGTCTGTTGCTCCATTGATTTGTCTCGTTCTGGTTCTTCTGACTTCGTGTTCAATAAAGCTGTTAATCACTGTTCACCTGCTGCCTGAGTCTCGTATCTAACATTGTGGTTGCGTAGTAACTCCCAAAATGGCCACTAAGATCTCAGAATGTAATCTTGCAGGATCTCAGTGGACATTCATTTCTTAAAGTTACTGATGTTTCTAACCCTCCAGTGTTTGTTTGTTTTGTCTTGTTTAGAGGATTCCCTGGAAAATCTGGATCAAAATGCACTCTTTTCTGAGATTTTCTGTAGGCGGGGGATCATTTATGAGTCTTTATCAACATTATTTGTCTCTCATATTCATCATTCTCCATTCCATGTATGAGATCAGGATTTCTTAGGACATATGCTAATTACTAAGACATAAATAATGTGAACTAATGTTAGTATAACCATAACATGAAAAGGAAAGCATCAACTCTTCATTGACATAGTACTTTGGGGCATTCTCACCCCCTGACTGTCTTTCATTTAAATTCCTTCATTTACAATTGGTTACTCTGCCAGGCCTTTTCTTCCAACTGAGGGGAGCCACCCATCCTCTTATGATTTTGGAGAACCAGGTTTGTTTTAAACTGTAAGCCTTCTCTTCAGTTACAAAATGTTTTACGGTAGCAAGTATTAAGCCTTAGGGTTCGCTCCTGTGAGGTAAGTTTTGTGGTGAGCAAGTAGAACATGGAGATCACTGAAGCAGGAGTTATTTTACTGGTTTTACTGGTTGTTTTAAAAGAATAGATCAGCAGCACAAGTCTCTAGACAGTCAAAGGAGAAGCCTGCCTGAGACACATTTAAGCTAGTTATGGTTCAGAGTGTGCATGCAAACCGGTGGCAAGGGAAGTGTGTGGATGGGGCCCACCAGGAGCCCTGGGCCCTAGCCATGGATGGCAGTGAGGTCTCATTTACAGGTTCCAGCAAATGGTTTCTGTGACATCATCTGCTGGCACCTCTGCAGTATCAGGCCCCTCCTGGTCCCTCTGGTCCTCCTCATCTGGTGGCCTTAGTTCCTCAGGTTCTTCCCCTAAGGACTCTGAGTCCAAGCCACTGGACTGGTTTGGGTGGTCATAAAACAATCGTGCACTTCCGAACTTTTTGAAAACCAGAGGGCCTTCAAAAACAAGATCCCTGACCAGCAGTTTGACGTAGCACACTGTGCTCTATTATTTCAGCTGCATGGCCTTAATGCTTAGGACTCTTATGAAACAAGAGACTGAAGCTTCAAAAGCATCTGCTGGATATAGTGGCCAGTATTCAGGGCCTTAATAATTATTGTTGCTACACTGATTTTACTGTGTATAAAGTGAATATATGTACACTAGCATGATGCCATCTCTCACTTCCTTCAGAACTCATCTGTTCCACAAAACTTTTGTCACAACCTCTACTGTTGTGATAGTCTGTAAGTGCTTATAACTGAAATAAATGTATCTCCTTCCCCTGTTTATCTCTGCCTCTCTTTCCTGTTGCAAATTTTAGATTATCAATTCTTCAGGGTAGGGATTTGCCTTCCTGTACTTGCACAGGAGCACACACATATACATCATTAATAATAAATTGTTATTATTGTAAATAATAGAGTGATTTTGCTTTTATTCCGTAGTGCAAAAAGGCAGCCATCTTGAAGTGCAGCGATTTGACGATCAGTATCGTGGACGAGAGCTTCCTGGATTTATCAATTACAAAACATTTGAGTCTATCATAAAGCAGCTGATAATGGAACTAGAAGCACCAGCAGTTGAAATGCTGAAGAAAGTAACAGGCAAGTCATGTATTAACAGGGTTCTGGTTAACACAAGGAATTTTTTTTTTTTAGTTTGGTTTGAAAATGATAGTCTTTATGCTTTAGAAATGAATAAGTGTAGGCCTGTTATACTCATGGGGGGGGGGGTTCCCTTAGCCCACACACACTTTCTCACTGGGCCTGCACCCAGCACAACTCCCAGGCCTGTGCCTCTGCCATCTGTGGGCCTGGTGCAATTCCACCACCAGCAGCTTGGCCTGTGCGTCTCCTGGGCTGCATGGCTGCCACTGAGCCCATTGTGGAGCTCCAGGCTGTGCAGCTGCTGCCAGACCCAATGCAGAGCCCTGGGCTGCACAGCCACTGCTGCCACTGGACCCAGCATGGCTCCCTGGCATCGCCGCCACCACCAAAGGCAACTGCTCCTTTACTTTTTGGGAAATTTAAACCCCCCATGTGTGTTTTTAATTTTCAGATTTTTCTGCACACCTGGGGAATTATCCAAATAGGCAGAAAATTTCTTTAGCCTCCATGTGGCCCTGATTCGCGGCTTTAGATGTCCACAGATGGCAGTCATGGGTGGCTAATAGTATATAGAGAAGTTGGGACCCGCAATACTCATGGGGGAGGGAATTGCTCCCTCGATTACAGCTGTGATTACCCACACTCGATTCTTGTCTTTCAGCTGGGGGGGAGACTTGTGGGGGGAATCCTATATCCCCCCATTGCCAAGCCTGGGGCTACTCTGTGCCCCACCACCAACTTTAAGCCCAGCATTCTCCTCTGCCATAGCCAGGTCCTGCATGGCTGCTGGTGTCCTCCACCATGGCCCAATACAGCTGCCAGAGTCCACTGCAGCCTGGACCAATGTGGCTGCTGGCATCTGTTGCCATGAGGCCTGGTGGAGCTGCTGGCCTCCTTCTCCACTGCTGTTGTTCCTTGACTCTGGGGGGGCGGGTTCTGTTCTGATTGGGTAAGCTTTATTTCATCCCCATTGCTGCTGCTGGGCCCTGCTTATCCCCCCCCCATCAGTGAGTGCCACACAGATCCAGCACCTGGGTCTGCCAAGGCCTCTCCCCCATTGTGATCAATGATCATGCTCGAGAGTGTCAACCAGCTTCCCAGCCACCAGGCCCATCAAGATCCCCTCCCCCATCAACAGTGGTGACCCCTGCATGGGTCCGGGCTGCAGAGTCTAAGATTTTCACCCACCCCCAATTAATGGCAGCGAGCCCCATGTGGCTTCTGGCAGCCAAGTTCACCAAGGCTTCTCCTCCCCGTTGTTGACAGTGGCACTGAGCCCTGAGTGGCGCCCACCAAGGTTTCTCCCCCTCACACACCATCATGCTGGCGAGCCCTGCATGGCTCCCAGCCCCTGAAGAATTCTCACCCCATCCGCAATGACAACAGCAAGGTTTCTTCCCCTGTCAGTGATGACAACACATCAACAGAGGAAATAGGAGCATTGTCTGTGCATGCACAGAGAATCCTACTTTACTTTTTAGGAGATTTAAAAAAAAACCCATGTATTTTTGGGAACATTTCAGATTTTTCTGCCAACTTGGGGAGTGCCCCAAGTCTGAAGAAAGATCTGTTTAGCCTTCATGTGGCCCCTATCTGCATATTTAGCTATCTGCAGATGGCGGCCACAGGCGGCTAATACTATATAGATATTTAGACTTGTTCATTTGTTTCTATCCTGCTTCTCAACTGTAAGCTTTCAAGGTGGCACCTAATAAAAATATAACTCACTAAGATCATTAATCATTACACAGTTTATAGTAAAATCAACACTTTCAAAACTCTTAAAAGCCAGCAGCCAACATCAAACATGGAATGCACAAACTAATCAAATGCCTATGGAAACACAAAGTGCTCAGTCTCGTATCTGAATAGCACCAGAGAGGAAATTCCGTAGGCCATATCTAGGATCATCACCTGTCTCACTTATGACTGCAGATGTGATGAGGATCTTAGTTTTTAGGCACAACAGGACAGTGAGAAGAAATGAATATAACTGCTGTCACTTTTGGATGCAGGGTTGAAAACAGACCATGCAAGGCCTTATTATTCTACTGTAAAATTGATTGTTATGTATTTTTTCCTTCCTCAGAAATGGTATCGCAAGATTTTACAAAGGTGGCTAAAGATCATTTTGCAGATTTTCACAATCTTTACAGAGCTGCTAAGGTGAGCACACATAGGACGCTATAGATCACACACTCATGGGGCAGGGCTTCCTCTGACTACAGGAAACTTGTTTTACCTAGTCTGAACTTTCCAGCTTGTCCATCTACAGGTTGCTCCTCACTCCTTCACATTTCTCCAGGTATCGGAGACATTTTTTCTAATTATGAACAAATACTTCAGCCCAAAGAATTGCTTCGGTTACCAGCATTTACCACCAGAGCCTGAAAGCTCCAGACAGTCTTCTGCTGGCCACTGTCATCAAGGGCTAGAGTTGCCAGCTCTGGATTGGGAAACACCTGGAGATGTTTGGGGTGGAGCCTGAGGACGGTGGGATTGGGGGAGGGGAGGGACCTCAGTGGGGTATAGGGCCATAGACTCCGCATTCCAAAGCTGTCATTTTCTCCAGGTGAACTGATCTGTGTTGCCTGGGGATCGGTTGTAAACCCAGGAGATCTCCAGCTACCACCTGGAGGTTGACAACCCCACCAAGGGCTCAGTTGGAAAGTCTAATTATAAGACTCTGTGTGTGTGTGTGTGTGTGTGTGTGTGCTCTGTTACCACTTTTTTGAGATCATGGATGTCTGTGTTGTCTTTAATAACTGTTGATCTGGTGTGTTTGGGTTTTTTTCGTTTGTTTGTTTGCATCTTTTTGGCTGGTCCTGCTTTTCCTGTGCTATTAATATGTCTACCTGTTGTACCCGGTGAGTGATTCTTCTTTGAATTCTGTTCCTGGTGTCTAGGTAATGGTTTCCATTCCATTATTTTCCTGCCTCAATCTGAGACATGGATTTCACCCTCTGACTCTGGTAGTCCTGCATGTTTGGTTGACAGCTAGTCAGGAGAAAAATGTCCTGTCCCTTTAATAGCAACTTAATGAATAGAAATGGGTAGTTGAAGCTTTCCATGGCATAAATACCAATGACTGGTATTTGCAGATGAAGCCGATGTTGTGGGGATAGCTAGAGGTTTGCAAATGTTTGAAAAAGATTTGCATCTCTATCTCCCTCCCCAGGCCATTCAGCAAAATGCATTCCGATTATTCAAAGGGTGCCAACCTGATGCTTGTGACTAGAGAGAAAGAAAAATGAAAAGGGAATTTGAAAATGGAGAGAGTAAAAATAAAGCCAGGTGGAAAGATAAGTGGGGAAACAGAAATAATTTAGCAGAAATAATGGTGGACAGGTTTTTTCTTGGAAGCCATGAATGTACATAGCATACAGGAGGTCCGTCCCCCCCAAAGCTGGATTTATTGATCTAGACACTGAGGTCCCTGTGCAGAAGTGGATACATGATTATGGGGGGGGGGGGGCGCAGTGGCTGTAATTTCTGTATGAAGCTTGAATGTATATGAGGTAAGCACAGAATCTATTTATAAGCAGGGTTGATAACAATACAGACTTCTAGCTTTGATAGGTTATTGTAGCAAATGAGAAAACAATTGAGGCTGAAAGAATTACAATCACACCTTTTGATCATTTCTAATCCAGCAATTTCAGGCTTCCTTATTGAAAAACGATGGTAAAGGAATGCCCCCCGACAGTTTCTTTTTCCTTCCCTTTGGCCACCAGAAGCAAAATAAGAGCGGAAAGCAGAGCCATGCAGATAAACAAAGTTGCACGTACACATTCTGGGTATAAGCTTTTGTGTGCGTGCAAACTTCTTCAAATACAGATATAAAGAAGTGTGCATGCACAAAAAAACGTATACCCAGAATTAAACTTTGGTGGTCTTAAAGATGCCACCAAACTCAAACTTTGTTTTACTGCTTCAGACCAAAACAGCTACCCACCTGAATATATCGTAATATAGACTAACATATTGTAAATCAAAGAAGCAATTAAAAAAAACAGACTAATAAACACCGGATACTCTTTGTGTTCTGGAATGAGGAAATAAGATTTACTCACTTGCCATTTGTATGTTGTAGAGTATTCTGTTACTAGTTATGAATTTTAATTGCTTTTCTTTTGTTTGGATATATACGTGTGTATGTGTATAATTTATTTATTTAAAACATTTTTATGACTCCTTTCCACCCAGTCAGAGTCCACAAGGTGGTAAACATAAAAAACCATTAAAACAGTTGAACAATTAAAAACACATTTAAAATGATAAATTATATATTTTAAAATTATAGCATTTATTATATATACGTATCTTTTTATTTGTGTGCAAGTAATTATAAGCAACAATATATTGTTTTTTAAATAAAAAGATGATTGCATAACTAATCAGTGGTTGTTAGCTACACATGTGCTGGTATTAGTTGCAGTTTTGTCAACGGGATAAGAGCTTGTGGATTTGGTCACTGTATGGAATAACCAAACGCAATATTGCTCTCTTACATTTGTGATGTTATTGTTGTTGTTCATCACAGGATAGAATTGAAGATATTAAAGAGAAACAATTGGAGGAAGCTGAATGTATAGTGAGGACCCAGTTTGCAATGGAACAGATTTTATACTGCCAGGACAAAGTTTACAGCCAAGACTTAAGTTCAGTACGGGAACATACAGCTGCAGAAGAAAAACATCCCTTAAAGATCAATTCTGTGGGCCTCTTAGTATGCCTTTCTGATGAAAAGAATGCTTCAGTCAAAGAAATGGCTTATCATTTGGAGGCATATTTCAATGTAAGTAATTTCCTACCAAAGGCAAGGGCTTTCTAAGCAGGATGGTTTTTGAACATGTAAATGAACTGCAAACTGGAAGGTCAGTAGTTTAGCAGTTTGAGACCTGAGTGCCGCGTGACAGAGTGAGCTCCCATCTCTGGCCCCAGCTCCTGCCAACCTAGCAGTTCGAAAGCAAGAAATTGCAAGTAGATAAATAGGTACCACTTCGGTGGGAAGGTAACAGCGTTCTGTGCACCTCAGCGTCTAGTAATGCCGGCCACATGACCACGGAAACGCCTTTGGACAGTGCTGGCTCTTCGGCTTGGAAATGGAGATGAGCACCACATCCCTAGAGTCGGATTCAACTGGCTTTTGAGCAAGGGAAACCTTTACCTTTACCTAGCTACCTTACACTCTATCCAACAAGCTCTGTATTGTCTGTATTGTCTACTGTGACTCGAAGTGGCTTTGCTGGTCATGGCAAAGAGAGGTTTATACCAGACCTACTACCTAAGAATATGTTAATTAGACCTGTCATGGATTAAACCTGGGACCTTCTTCATACAATGCATACAAATGCATACATATGTTTGCACCCTAAGATGAATGGGTATGTTCCTACATCTGTTGGCCTATGTGCCCATCACAATAGCAAGTGTATATATACTAGGAACCTGATTTGTATTAATTTCTGTGAAGGTATTATTGAAAAGTATGTTTTACTGTTTTAAATTTTAATTCGGCTTGGCCGCATGTTAGCCACTCTGAGCTGCTGGATAGGGCTGGATATTAGTCCCAAAAATAAATAAATAAAATAAGTAATATAAATTAATACATTTAGAATAGGCGTTTCATTTAGATGCATTCAATTCTGGTCATCCCTAGAGAGCTTTTTAATAGGGAACATATATAGAGAGAGCAGAAGCAGAGTTACGACACAAAAGGCATTGTTCTGTAAAATACAGTACTTAATCCCAGGTGCCAACCATGAAATCCTTTAATACGCAAAAAGTTTCCACAGATTACTTCTGGATATCAAGTTCCTCCATAGTGACATCATATGATTGGATAAGTTTTTTGTTGTTTTTTTTAGTGGAGGTGCTATATTTGTAATTCCCCACTGATTGTCTCTCAGAGGATTAGATTCAGGCAGGTAGCTTTGTTGGTCTGAAGCAGTAGAACAAAGTTTGAGTCCAATGGCACTTTTAAGGCCAACAAAGTTTAATTCTGGGTATACGCTTTCATGTGCATGCACACAAATGCTTATACTCAGAATTAAACTTTGTTGGTCTTAAAGGTGCCATTGGTCTCAGAGAATTAGTTCTACATCAGTCCTTTTTTTTGGAAACAATTTTTATTTAGGATATAGTCAATCAAAATCAACATTTGTTATACATTTTCATCCTACCCTCCTCCCTTCCCCCCCCCACATGGCTTTCCACAGTGCTACAACCTCCGGCTAAATTCTTAAATTTCTTCTTCCTTCCTTTTTTCATTGTAAGTTCAATAGGTAACTAATCTCTTCATATTTAAATTTCTCTGTTTCTTATTCCATATTGCTAAACTTTTAACATTCAATAGTTATCAAAGCAAAATAAATTGTCTCTTACATCCCAATACTTCTCCAAATAGTCTTTTAAATCTTTCCAATCTGCTAGAAAGTCTTCTGCTTCCATATTATTAAGTTTTCATGTCATCTTGTCCATTTCAACCATAAAAAGTAATTTTTTAATCCAATCTCCAATCTCCGGGACTTTATCTTGCTTCCAACATTGAGCATACGTTATTCTGGCAGTTGAGATCATATACCACATCAATGTCCTTTTTGCCACATTGGCCTCTTCCATTTTTAGTCCCAAAAGTAATATTTCTGGTTCTTTCTTAAATTCACACTTCACAGTTTTTTCCATTTCCGCATGAATCTCAACCCAATTTTTTTTAGCTTTTTCACAAGTCCACCACATATGATAAAACGAGCCCTCAGCCTTTTTAAACTTCCAACATTTGTTTGACATATTAGTATTCATATTGGCAATCTTTTTTGGTGTCATATACCACCTATACATCATCTTATAACAGTTTTCTTTTAGGTTATTACATGTTGATATTTTCAGTGCATTCTTCCATAAATATTCCCAAGTTGACATCATTATTTCTTTATTCATATTTACCGCCCATTTTATCATCTGTTCTTTGACTGTCTCATCTTCTGTATACCATTTTAACAATATTTTATATATTTTTGAAATAAGTTTTTTACTTCCCTCAAACCATACATTCTCAATATCATTATACTTTTTTCTAAAACCAAAAGTCTTTTTATCTTTTTTAAACAAGTCATTAATTTGTCTGTATTGGAACCAACCATATTTAAAAGCTAAATCTTCTTCCATTTTCATTTCAAATGTCTTTCCCACTGGCTTCAACATGTCTTTATACTGTACCCAGTCTTCTCCCTTATAAATCGAAAAAGGTTTTATTACCTCTACCAGGACAATCCAAAGAGGTCTCTCATCTGAGAAGTACCTCCTATATTTAGTCCATGTGTCGAAAAGCACTCTTCTGATATAATGATGTTTAAAGAAACCATCCATTTTCACTTTTTCGTACCATAAATAGGCATGCCAGCCAAACCTACAGTCATGACCTTCTAACGCCAACAGTTTCTTATTATTTAGCGTAGCCCATTGCTGCAACCAAGCTAAACATACCGCTTCATGGTACAATCTTAAATTTGGTAATTGGAATCCTCCTCTCTCTTTCGCGTCACATAAAATCTTCATTTTAATTCACAGTTTCTTCCTGGCCCATACAAACTTTGAAATTTCTCTTTGCCACATGTTAAAAATCTTCACATCTCTTACTATCGTTTTTAAATTAGAGACTGGCTTGCTATTGTGCTAGGACATTAGTTCAGACATAAGCATGTGCTTATGAACCCCTAGGCATCTATGTAGCTTTCCTATATCAGATTGTTTATCTCCTTGTAAGACGTACACCTCAACAATGTTACTGATTTGTTTGGGGGTAAAGTACACAAGTTAAAGTATGAGAGAATCTTTGATGCGCTTTTATCTTTTTATTACAAAATAAGTATTTGATGGAATGTCATTAACTAATTTAAGAGATTATAATACCATAGATAATTAGAGGAATTACATGAGACCAGTCAAAACTCCTATCCAGAAATAAGTAAGTCCCAAACAAGAAGCATCTTCTAAGAAGAAGCTGATAATCAGTTCAGACTTCCATATATATAGGTTTTTAAAATCATCTTCCAACAATCAGTACCTGTCTCACTTAATAAGGGTGCAGATTCTTGGCTAACTGATTACCTTAGAACTTCACCATACAAAGATATCTAAACTCAAATATCTTAAAAGATATAAAAGCTGTGTTGGTTTGTTCTCATTACTTTTTAACATAACAAAGAAGACTACAAACATTGATTACAAGTTTCTTGTACAAGTTTACAAGTTTCTGTTAGACCTCAGCTTATACATCCCATCTTTGAACTATATCTTCAGATTGTATTAGTTGAATATTCTTGCCAGCCTCTGACTCTTCTTGCTCTTGGGCCCAGACAGATATTACATCAACTGATGCAAAATGCAAATTGCTTCTAATCTACTGAAGGCCATATTATATTATTCCTTTGTTCTTTACCTCTCTTCAAGGCAATTCTGTCTGGATTCTCTGTCTGGCACATTTAGCTGAGAGAGAAAGCCAGTCCTATTCTGGCCTGCAGAAACATTGTCTATGATCATTTTAGTCAAGACCAACAATTGTTCCCTTATATTGCTGGCTATAGCCATGACAGCTTGATTGCTTTCTTTTCTGTGCATCCACAAACTATTTGCAAACCTGTTGCATATTTAGGGACATAGAATTACAACTCCAAACACATTATTCTTGCTTTTGAAGTGGAAAAGCATGAATATTCACTATAACTAAGTACTGTTGCTGTATTATTTCTTTATTTAAAATATTTATATCCCACCTTTCTGCAATGCCCAAGGCAACTTCACAAAATATAAATTCGCAATTAAAATACGTCAAGTTAAAGCTGCAACAATACATTAATACATCAAATAGCAGCAGGGAGGCCCATCCAGTGTGCAGTGACATGTCTGCATCACTGATCTCATGACTTCCAGGATGACAGGGCAGTGCTCTGGTATTTGGGCAAAAACTATGGTAAATTTCGCTTCTACCATATAGTTTTTGCCCAAATACCAGAGTTTAGCCCTGACAATCTGGACATGATGACATCACTTCTGGGTCACATGGGTAGTGACATGGACTCATTACTGCATATCAGATGGATCTCTCTCTTTTTCAGGGCAAGTTCCCTCCTGCTAGCCAGCTGATTGGTGGCAGGGTGGTTGGGGCCTTGGAGTGGGGGACCCCTGCCTCCACTAGGGGTCTGGCAATTCTAGGAGGGGGTGTAGGCAGAGGTGTAATTTGTAACCACATTATGCCTTGATCAAATATGTGGGGAGCAGGTCTGTGTCTAAGGTGTCCCTGTTTGCCACTGTCCACCACTGCAGTGCTCACACAGACCAAGCAGATAAGATGTTACTTGCAGCATTTTATTACCTTTTCATTTCAGAACGCAGGGAAACGTCTCTCCTGTCAGATTCCTCTGATTATCTTGTTCTACATGCTGAAGAAAAATGGAGATAAGCTACAAAATGAAATGCTGAAGCTTTTGCAGGTAAAGGAAGAGATTGGCAATTTCCTCCAGGAGCGTAAAGATGCCGCTGAGCAGAGGCAGTTCCTAAGTGAGCGAATTGATCGGTTGACTCAAGCACGGCAGCACCTAGCAAAATTTCCTGGTTAAATGGAAGATGTATTACAGTACACCATTTCTGAGAAGCTATATTAACTGGACCCCTAGAGATAAGCTACATCTCCATTGTCTAAGAAGTTCATATTCTGTCACTTGCTGATGCTCTGTTTGCTGTAGTTGGTTAAACCAATGTGTTGCACAAATCCTGTTTAGTTGATCAGACATGTATTCATAGACCATAGTTTGTTCAAAAATCTCAGTCTGCTGCTTGTGTTCTTTCCCACTTCCAAGCAGAATCCCCAGATACTATCCCAAGCTCCCTTGCACTGCCACTTCTGGTGCAGCCTGCATGCTATTGACTACAATGTGGGAAGGCTGCTCTTAGGGCAAACTAAGTGTATTTTTACCCTTGCCCCCTCTCCCTCTTCTTGTTTCACCACATTCCCTAACCTTGTTTCATCTCAGGAAGCAACAACAAAGGGCATTTTCTTTACACTGTGTGTAGTGCTATTTACTGCTACGGTGCCCCCCCACCCCAGTAATCTTTTTCTAAACTGAAAAGCCCCCGATCTTACAAGGAAGGTTCTCCAGACCCTTGATCATTTTGGTTGCTATTTTCTGTACTTTCAGTTGTATGATAGCCTTATTGAGATGGGGGGGCGGGACTAAAACAGTCCACAGAATATGTAGCCACACCATAGGTTTATATTTAAATCACTCCTAATCATTATTAGCATGAGATTTACTTTCACTGCTGGAACATCGAGTACAAATTTTCACTGAGCTATCCACCATGCCCCCAAGATCACTTTCATGGCAGTTCAGATAGTGACAGTTCAGACAGATATCAGTATATGAAGTTAAGATCCCCCCCCCCCGTTTGCCACAATATGCCTGCTTTCTAGAGCTATGTTACAGTCTGCCTCTGAGTTCCATAACACAGTGGCAAGGCACACCAAGGTAGAGGGAGTGGCATCATCCTGTACTTAGTTCTGTCTTTAATAAAGAGGACTCAGAAGCTTCAGGTGCAGAATGCAGCCACCTATTCTGAGCATGTAACAGTTCTGACAATTAACACGATTCTGAAAGGAGTCCATTGGCTTCCAGTTTGCATTCAAATTCAATTCATAATGCCGGTCACCACCTTTAAAACCCTTCAGGGCCTGGGGTCCACATAGCTGTGAAATCACCACTCCTAGAATAAGGCTTGTGCAAGCAGGAAACCTGCAAGACTTTGCAGGAATCACTTCAGTTTTCCCTGTATCCCCTTCCACACACCATTTCTCCTTTCTATCCTGCTGGCAACCCCCATAGCCTCTCCTCTTTCCATCCTCTCCTTCACAATCACCCACCAACTGTTACCTGCCTCTCCTTCAGCTTTATCATTTATTTCCTTCACTTACACCCTACCTTCCACCCTAATGGTGACCCAAAGCAGCTTATGTCATTCTGCTCTCCTCTATTTTATCTTCACAACAACACTGTGTGGTAGGTTAGGCTAAGGGTGTCCAGCAGCCTTCCATGGCAGAGTGGGGTTTTGAATCTGGGTCTCTCAGATCGTAGTCGGACACTCTAATCACTGTACCACACTGACTGTTAGCTTCCCTCACACCAGAAAAATCTGGCCAAGTTGCAAATGCCCTGTGGTAGCCAGTAACTCAGGCAAGACATGTTAGCCACTGCTGAGCCCAGCCAAATCACACTACTTGTATGGAGGCTGCCCCTGGACCGAGGCAAGTTGTTTTGGCATCAATTTGTAGCCATCACAGTGTTGCAGACTCATGATTGTTAATGGTATATGATTAAACAAAGCAGGCTTGAGGATTTATTTTTACTATTTCAGCAAAATCTCACTGTTACATCCTTGGAAAGATAACTAAATCATTGGAGACTTGCCCTGAAATAAATCTAGCAAAGCTGGGAATGAGTAGGTCCCAAAGCTGGGAATGAGTTGCAATTTTGCTATGGGATAAGTATTTCTAAGCTCTGAAATGCTTACATCATAGACTCAAACAAGGTGAATTATTGGCCTTGATAGAGTCATGTGTTTCATGTAATTAGGCTTGTATAAGACTAGGGCTGTTGTGGAAATAAATACAACGAGCTCTAGAAAGAGGCTCTGGGCAGTGCCCTGGCCTTGGGCACTTGCCATTTGCTGTGGCAACCTTAGCAGAGTATAATTACACAGAGCCCACCATTTTCTCCAGGGGAACTGATCTCTGTCATCAGGAGAGCAGTTGTAATTCTGAGTGCTCTCCAGCTTTCAGGTGGAGGTTGGCAGCAATGGTCTTCCAGGAGAAAATGGCTGGTTTGGAGGGTGGAATCTATGCCATTGTACCTGTCTAAGCTCCCACCCCTCCTCAAACCCCATGCTCTTTGGGCTCCACCCATCAAACTTGGAGTATCCCAACCTGGAGTTGGCAACCCTATCTCCTTTCCAGCCAGCCATCAACCTACTGTTATCTGCCCCGGTCTCTACCATCTGGAGAGCAGTTTTAATTCTGAGTGATCTCCAGCCATCATCTGGAAATCAGCAGCAATGGTTCCCCAGAAGGAAAAGAACAGTCTTTCTCTGCAGTGGAGACCAAAGCAGCTTACCTCATTCTCCTCTCCCCCATTTGATCTGCACAACAACCCTGTGAGGTAGGTTAGACTGAAAGTCTGTGACTGGTTCGGAATCACCCACTCAGTTTCCACAGCAAGAACCTGGGTCTAGCAGACCCTGCTCTGGTGCTAACTGCGACACCACTCTGACTGTGGTATCGCTTGGTATCATAACTGAACTCCAGACAACAGATCTCTCTCTCCCACTGGAGAAAATAACTGCTTTGAACGGTGGACTCTATGGCATTCTATTCAGCTGAGGCCTCACCCCTCCCCAAACTCTGGCTTCCATAGACTCCACCACAGAATATCCAGGAATTTCCCAACCTGGAGCTGGCAACCCTAGTCAGGACTGGCCCCAATGAGTTCCTCACAAAGGCCTGGAAAGTGCCTCCTTCCTTTGCCTCTTTACTGACAGAACCAAGCTTGGTTGCCTAGCAACAGCCACTGAGGAAAAAGTTAGTCCCACAGGAGCCAAGCAGAAGTGTCTTCATCAGGAGAGACAGCTGTTCTGTGAGGGAAGAGTGTCCTGTCCAGGCAGTGGGTGGGGGAGAGGAGTGGACCTAGCACCCAGCCAATGGCACACAAGTACTCTTGAGTGGTGGTTGATGGGCCAATGGCTGCTGGAGCACACTGCTCAGCCAATGGGAGAGCTGGAAATGGCCAATACGTGAGGGACACACACACACACATATATATAGGATACCCACACCCAAGACACCCCTGAATCTCAGCTGTCGATTATGTGAGACTACCTTTCTGAAACCACTTTAGTGAGGATCTCAAAGAAGTATTTTAAGTTTTAACCTTAGATAGGTAGGATAAGGAATGGTATGTATTTCTGTTTTTGTATCATTGTAATTCTTTCATATTTACTCATTTTAAGAATGGTTAGACTTTAAATAAAAACTTCTCCCAAACTTCAAAAGCTTGGTATTGCGGTAGATTCCTCTCTTTTATGTGATGAATCATATATTTTAAGAACAATCCAACTAAGACTTCCGGATCATGAACTCAAAAAAGTGTTCCCTTCGCACTTCCCTGCTGTTCTGCAGCTTATTTAGGTATATATCAAAGGCATGGAATGATGCCCCACTATTCTCCAGTGGTTCGGATAGCGGGACAGTCCGTACTATTGGGATAAGCTCCACCCTCTCCTTCAGGGTCGGCTCCAGGCTTTGAACCATGTGAGGCGGGGCTTATCCCCTGCGGCTTCCCCAGTTCTTGCTGGCCCTGCTTACCAGCAGGACATGCTCCAGCAGCGCTCATTTGGAGCGCTTAGCTTCTACAGGAAGAAAAGAAAGAAGAGCCGCCGCAGCAGCAAGGACTGAGGGCGAGTGAGGCTGAACTGGGTTGTCCCTGGCTTCAGCGGAGCTCTGAGAAAGCCCTGGGCATCCGTCTGCTGGCCTTACCCGACCTCCGGGTGGAGGGCCTCCCCCTTCATTGCTCTGGGGGTGAGGAGGAGCCTGGCTGCACGGCGTACCCACGTTGATGCAGTGGATCGCCGCAGCAGAAAGGAATGGGGACAAACCTTAACCGACGGTGGTGGTGAGTTCGATGGGCCCCTGGAAGCCTTCCCGAGCGGGGTTGGAGCCTCAGGGGATGAATCCACCACAGCATAGAGCTAGGACCTACTTAGAACGAGCGGGATGTTGTTTCACTCAGAACCTCGGCAGCTGGGAGAGGAAGGCTGCAGGTTTATCTCTGGCATGCCATTTTTTTGGGTGAAAACGGGGGGGCTTCTTCAGATAGGGCCCAATTATTTCCAACCTAAGCCCCAGAGACATTGCCTCCTCCCAGTTGTTGAGGCTGCTCATTTTGGCATGTTAAAATGGCGGCCATTTTAACTCAATCTGAAGAGTTTCACTTTAGTTTCTTCCACAGATTGGTACAAGATGGCTGATCAAGCTAAAAGGGAGGTGTCTTCAGACAGAGACAGTTCCCTAAGTGAGCTCAGTTTTCCCAGGCCGTCTGTTTCCCTGGCCAGTCAAGATATTGTTCAACCAGGTTTGGATCCTAGGGAACAAGAAAAGACTGAACTGATGCCCTGGTTTAGGTCAGAAATGAGGAAGACATGGTAGACACCCGTCAGGGAGCAGGGCCCTCTAAGTCTTTGCTGGGACAAAGCAAACCTGTTAAGAGGTCAAAACCCTGTCAAGATCTTTCATCCAGCAGTTCTGGCTCTCCTCCCAGACACAAACGCAAGAGAGAGCAATTTTCCTCTGTGAAATTTAGCCAGCTGCCAGGACATAAGGAATTAGTGTCCCAGTCCTCGGATTCTTCCTCTGAAAGGGAGGAAGGAGAATTATCCGAGGAAGAGGAGGAAGTTATGCCATCTGTACAGTCCAGCCTATTCCCTCAGGAGTGTTAATCTAAACTTCTACCCAAGGTCTTAAGAACGTTGGATCTTTCATCTAAACCTAAAGCTGTAGAGGAACCAGACTCTGAGTTCCAATCGGGTGCTGGCAATCTGATGCCCAAATTGTCTAAGGTGCAGCCAGGGCTTCCTCTTTCAGCTTCCTTTTTTAATATCATGAAGGCTGAATGGGAACAGCCGGCAAAACCCAAGGCTAGTCACCATTTGTTCTCTAAATTTTATGCGCTAATGCCTGAAGCGACTAAGAGGCTGAAAGTACCAGTAGTGGATGATCCTATTTCCAGTCTGTCTTCCAGTGCAGTCTTACCCATGGACAATGAGGGTTTACCCAAGGACCAGTGTGACCGATGTGTTGAACAGGCTCTACGAAGGGACTTCGAGGCCTCATCTCAGTCTTTGAGAGCTTCCACCACTGCTTCTTTATTTGCTAGGGCAGCATATGACTGGGCAGAAAACTTGGCTTCGGCTGGGAGTAATATCCCTAAAGAGTTCAAGGATGAACTAAAGAAAATTGCATTAACTATAGTATTTGCTGCTGATGCATCTCTGGACACCTTGTAGTTGTCAGCTAGGGCCATGGCGTGTAGCATTACAGCCCGCAGGAATACGTGGCTACAACTTTGGGATGCTAACTCCTCATCCCAAGCCAAGGTGGCTTCGGTCCCTTTCAAGGGTGGGAACCTATTTGGGGAGGGTCTGGATAGGTTCTTGATTGAGGACAGAGACAAAAACAAGGTTTTTACCATCAAAAAAGAGGGACAATAAGTCTAGAAACAGGTTTCAGCCATTTCAGGATCAAAAAAGAGGTCAGAAGTCATATTTTAACAGACCCTTTAAATCCAAGTGGCAGCCCAGACAGTCTAGTTCCAAATCTTTCTCTCAGGCAAAAGGAGAACAGTCAAACAGCAGGAACCCCAAAAAAGGTGCCTCAGCATGACTATCTTCACAGAGTCACTCAGGGATTTGGGGAAGATTACAGCGGTTTGCCACTCAGTGGAACCAGACAATTACGAACCGCTGGGTCCTCGACATTGTGAACAAAGGCTACAGGCTGGAGTTCTCTTCCAAACCCCCAGTCAGACTAATAAAAATAGTGAAACACAGGGACACTGCCAAACATCTTCAGATGCTCACAGCCATCCAACATTTGTTGGAGATAGGGGCAATAGAGTTGGTTCCACAGGTGCAAAAAGGACAGGGAGTATACACGATATTCTTTTTGGTCCCAAAGAAAAATGGGGACACCAGAGCTATCCTGGATCTCAAGAGATTGAACAAGCATGTTCGGGACAGAAAATTCTGGATGGAAACCTTGCGCTCCATCCTACCAGCCATTCAGAAAGGGGCTTTTCTAGTTTCAATAGACCTTTCCAAGGCTTATCTGCACGTGCCGATTCACTTAGATCATCGGAAGTTTCTGAGATTCGCTTATGCGGGTCGCCACTATCAGTACAGGGCTCTCCGATTCGGGTTCAAATTATCCCCGAGAGTATTCACCAAAGTACTGGTCACTCTCGTAGCAGCTCTCAGACTAAAGGGGATAGAGTTATTTCCTTACCTGGATGATATTCTTATCAAAGCGACATCGAGGCAGGGATGCATACAGGCGTCTCAAATCACAGTGAGTACACTACAGGAACACGGGTTTGTAGTGAACCTAGAGAAAAGTCATTTACAACCCACACAGAGGCTGATTCACTTAGGTGTGATAATAGACACAGTAGCGGACAGATTTTTATTTTCCGAAGAGAAGGAAAGCAAGATTACATGTCTTTTTATAGAGACATTAAAACAGGACAGGACGGCTCTCATGTCACTGGCAAAACTTCTGGGGATGTTGGTTTCTTGTCAGGAGATAGTTTTCACGCATGACTTCTACAGAGGTTTCTGCTACCTTACCAAAGGGACATTGCGTGCCAGAGGTTCAAGGTAATACGCCTGCCAGAGTCACTGAAAGCGGACCTAGGCTGGTGGCTGTCACCACAGATTTTTTCCCAGGGTTGTCTCCTTTCGGAACCCACAAGGACACTAATGACCACAGACACCAGCCTCTTGGGGTAGGGGGCGCATGCGGAGGGTCAGATGGGGCAGGTCAGTTGGTCTCAGGAGGAGTCCAGGAAAAGTATCAACTTTTTAGAATTGAGGGCTGTAAAGTTGGGACTGTTGAAGCTCGAAAAACGCTTAGTCGGGAAACGTGTTAGTCCAAACGGACAACACTACAACCAAAGCATATCTCAACCATCAAGGGGGGAACCAAGGAACGGTCCCTACACAAGGAGGCGACGGAACTGTTGATCCGGGCAGAGAATCTCCTATTGTCACTGAGGGCGACACATGTGGCTGGGAAGGACAATGTCCTGGTGGATTGGTTAAGTCAGACACGGCTGGATCAGTTCGAGTGGGAACTCAACAGGGAAGTGTTCCTTCAGATAGGTCACAGGTTTGGAGAGATGTCGACGGACTTATTTGCAACAGCTCAAAACCGACAGGTTCAAGCATTCTTTTCTAGGATAGCAAGCGAGCGGGCCATAGGAACAGACGTTTTAAACTGTGATTGGCCTCCAGGGCTATTGTATGTGTTTCCTCCGATTCAAATCCTACCCAGGGTTTTTCAGAAGGTTCGCCAGCAACATGTGGAAGTGGTGGTTGTGGCTTCTTGTTGGCCAAGACGGGCCTGGTTTTTGGAACTAAGAACGATGTCCACTCAGGACCCGTGGAGACTCCCTCTCGGGAAGGACTTATTAAGGCAGGGAATAATTTTGTATCCACAACCAGGGATGTTCAAACTCACTGCCTGGAGGTTGAGCAGGAAAGTTTAATGGCACTGGGTTATTCTCAGGGCATAGTGAAAACCATGTTAGCATCCAGGAAAACTTCTACTAATAGAGTGTATAATGCTACCTGGCGGGTTTTTCAGAAGTGGTGTCAGAATAACAAGTTAAATCCTTTTAAGGTGTCGGTAAAGGGCATTTTATGTTTTTTGCAGGATGGCTTGGATAAAGGTCTGAGTACAAGTACGTTCAGGAGACAGGTTTCAGCCATTTCGGTGGTACAGGGTGTCAGGGGAGGTAAATCCCTATCATGTCACCATCATGTTAAAAGATTCCTGAGGGGCTTTTTTGCTTAATCCTCCCACAGTGCATAGGTTCCCCACATGGAACTTACATATGGTCTTGAAATCGTTGTGCAGAGCACCGTTTGAGCCCTTGGCTTCATGTCCACTTAAGGAACTTACTTTTAAGACTCTGTTCCTAGTGGGTATTACCTCAGCTCGGTGAGTGTTGGAGCTGAAGGCCTTGTTAGTCAACAGGGGCTTATGTGTGTTCCATAGAGATAAGGTTATTTTAAGGCTGGACCCAGTGTTTGTCCCTAAGATAAATTCGGTTTTCCACAGAACGGAGGAAATAATTTTGCCAAATTTTTGTCCAAATCCCGTTCATGACAAAGAAAAAGAGCTACATTGTTCGGATGTTAGACATGCTCTTAGTTTTTACATTGATAGAACCAGACAGAGCAGAAAATCTGAATCCTTGTTTGTGTCTTTTAGGAATTCTATGGGGGCATAGGTGTCCACGGCTACCCTGAGTCGGTGGATTAAGGGTTGTATCCTTCTGGCATATAAGGCCAGAGGGTTGGAGCCTCCAGAAGGAATTGTTGCACATTCTTTGAGAGGGGCGGCTACATCAGCAGTATATAGATCCTTTCCGTCTTTGGAAGTTATTTGTAAGGCGGCCACCTGGCGTTTGGTCCACTCTTTTACATTATAGAGTGGACAAGCTGGCTTTGGCAGAAGCGGCCTTTGGTCGTAGAGTCCTGCAACACGCTCTGTAGGTATCTGACAACATTCCCTCCCTTGGGACTGACTTTTTAAAGTCCCAACAGCTGTCCTTGAAAAAGAGCAGTTTGTGTCAGAGTTCTCTCAGCCCCACCCACCTCACAGGGTGTCTGTTGTGGGGAGGGGAAGGGAAAGGAGTTTGTAAGCCGCTCTGAGACTCCAAGTGAAGAGCGGGGTATAAATCCAATCTCCTCCTCCTCCTTTCTCGGTGGTTTGGGAGCGGGACAGTCCAGCTCACCCAGTTGGATGGTTGTCTATGGTCAGGTGTGCGGGGAATGTTGCAGGACATTGACTGGTGGGGCGTTTTTTTCAGACTGCATGGCTCAGTTCCTTGATTGCGGAAATGTGTATGTTTGTGTCTTTGACCCGGTTTCTGTTGACAGTTTCCAAGTGGTTATTAAAGTTGATGTTTAAGTCTTCAAGTGGATTTTCTCTTTTTGGGAGAACTGGTCTTCCTGTTACTTTCCAGATGAGGTGAGGGCTCATGTATGACCTGGGGAAGCCACAGGGAATAAGCCTCACCTCACATGGATCAAAGCCTGGAGCTGACCCTGAAGGAGGGGGCGGAGCTTATCCCAATAGTACGGACTGTCCCGCTCCCGAACCACCGAGAAAGGAAGCTTCATGGTAAGCCAGTTTGGTGTAGTGGTTAGGTGCACGGACTCTAATCTGGGAGAACCGGGTTTGATTTCCCACTCCTCCACTTGCACCTGGCTGGATGACCTTGGGCAAGCCGTAGCTCTGATAAGAGCTGTTCTTGAAAAAGAGCAGTTTCTGTCAAGAGCTCTCTCAGCCCCACCTACTTCACAGGGTGTCTGTTGTGGGGAGGGAAAGGGAAAGGAGTTTGTAAGCCGCTCTGAGACACCTTTGGGTAGTGAAGGGTGGGGTATAAATCCAATCTCTTCTCTTCTCTTCTAAGTGAAACAAATCTTCCATTTTTTCATTTTGGATTTCCCATTCCAGTGCCGAGCCTTTACTTTGGCCTGTTTAAATGCTCTTCCATCAGTAGTCCTTTTTGGTAGATTTAGGCAAACACCTTCTCAAAATAAGTTTTGTCCATGTGAATTAAGTACTCTTGATTCGTTATCCCATATTATTTTAGAGTATCCCCTCCTTGCTTTACAATGTAAACAATGCTTATCTAAATACCACCAGCATTTCTTCATTAAGGATTTTTTTAAAATTATCTTTTAGAAGATGTTAACCCTCAAATCACTGTATATGTTGCCAATTTTTAGTAGAAGCTTATGAAATTAAGTCCAAACACATCACTGTATCTTAATTGTTGGACACCTATTTTTTTCTATTTGTGTCTGATGTTTTATTGATTTAAATACATACTTGATCTGTATTACTGGTCACTATCTTAGTCAACTGTTTTATGTCTGTTTTTATCTATCAGACTTTTGTATTTATTCTTGATTGTAATTTACCAGGAACCTTTATGCCAATAAATGTCAAAAGTATCAAATAAATACTTAAGAGATAAATATGAGTGATATTTGGCTGGGATAAAAGGTTTTCACTTGACAGCTGGAATAAACATTGATTTATCTTCAGTCAGAGGGCTCTTATTGTATAAAGACTGGTTATTAAAGATAATAGCCTCAGGATAACCCTGTAGTTTAATGGTTAATGTGGCAAAGAGTCCATGTGTGCCACTGGACTCTGACTTTATTCTGCTGTTACGGACTAACATGGCCACCCATCTGGAATTATCTTCAAAGGTATTCCTGTACATTATGCTCAGTGTCAGTTTTACGTGTGTTCTGGTTTGCTGTAGTGCCCCTCTCCTCAGCATTTCAATGGACATAACACTGGATTCTACCTATACATGGGGAATATCACACTTCTGCTTTTGCTTCTGTTAACAAATCACTCCAAGATCCCACAGAAATTCTACCACTCTCAGCATACTAGAGAGTAATTCTATTCTATATGGTTAGGGTAAAGCAATTGTGACTCCAGGTCAGTTTCCATCTATGAATAGACTGCAGTATGATTGTGTATGGAAGAAACCTTGATTCTTGGCCTTTATTTTGGTGGGAAAAAATGTGCACAGCAATTGCAAATTCTGCACAATTGCAAAATTCTTAACAAGCAGTGTTCAAGAATATAAATCAACCAGAAATTAAAAAATTAGCAAAAGTTTATTTGTATGCAAGATACATGTTGTGTTTCAAATTCTGTAGCAGACACAATTTTTTAAAAAATGGTAGAAAAACCTATCTAACAATTATGCATAATTTATATAGGTTATCCAATTTTATTACTATGTCTACTTTAAAATTAAGTCATCATTTAAATGGCACTTGAACATACACATTTTATCTGCAAATCTGAAGCAGAACTCTCCCCACAATGAACATTACAGTACATTCCAGTAGCAGCACTGTCTGTTGTTTCAGTCCATTACATTCAAAGCAAAACAGATTTGTTGCTATTGTAGTATTCAGATTTTCTAGGTCTGTAGTGACAAATTTATTTCTGCCTTCATTTTAAAAACCTCATATATTAATATATCAGTTTAAAAACAAGATTAAGAATTTTTTCTGCTCAACACAATTATCAGAGTCTTATAAAATGAGGTAGTTACATGATTAAATGGGTATTACTTTCCACAGCACAGTTGGTGAAGCCAGGAATTCTTCATTATTTGCTGCTTCCTTTGCCTGAAGATGCATCGAATACAAGCCAGACAACTGTTATTCCAGCCTTTTGAATGCTAGTAACTTACTTATGCAGATACAACACAATTCTGGAATACTCTGTTCAACAACATCACAAAACAAAGTTCATGGTCTTTCTCATTTTGTGAGCCACACTCTAATTTTGATTTTAAAAACATCACAGAAGGGGAAGTCCCATTCAAACTGAATATATATTTGATCTCAGAATCAACATTACACCTGTAACGTGAGTGAGGAATTTTAGATATTTGAATACATATGATGAATTTTCCTTCTCTTAGTAGTACTTTGGAGAAGAATCCTCACACGTCATGTCCATGCATTCACATGTGGTTTTTCCACCACCCCTGAAATCCTGGACTAGCCAGCAGCCCAGACACTTATATTATGGATATACAAAACATTAAATAACATCATGAAAACAAGCAATCTTGTATTCTAATACAGTAATAGAAAATGGCAATTTACAAATGTGATTATTATAACTTAGATTTTTTTTAAAAAAAACCTGGCTGGCAATTCTCAGAAATGAAAGAAAGTTCAATAATTAGTTTGATTAAAAGTTTGTTAGCCATCTGAGGCACTGCATTAAGAAGAGAGGTTTCCATGAAACCTTTATTAAGCTGGATGTCAGTGCAAATGCTACCAGTTTGCAAACATTCAGGTTATATTCCATCTGAAGTGTTGAGGACCTAGAATTCTTTTTAAAAAGACACTTATTAAAGTCAATTACAGAGATCAAGAACATCCACCACTAATGGAAAAAATCGTTCATTCCATGGAAGGGATGCAGGAGAGAACACCACCATCATCTGTTTGCCTGTTAGGAAAACAAGAAAACAGTTTCAGCACCACCTATCCAAGAGAAATAAGGATGATATCAGAGAGACCACTTATATGAACTACTGAAGCCATCTGAACATTTTTAACATTCAGGGCAGGATCAGACCAGAAGCAAATAGCATCCACACACTTTGTCAAGGTCAGGAGATCTTGGCTCCGTTTCTCTTTCTTCCCCTAAATACTTAACTGTGTGAAATGCAGGAATGTCATTAGATTTATGGAACTATAAACTACTGGGTGACCTGTCATTAAGCAAAGGTTGCAGCAGCAACAAAGAAGTGAAATACTTTGTAATTCTTTATCCACATAGGAACTGTTTCAAAACACCCAAGTCTGTCATTTTGATCATATAATCAGCCTCAAATAGTAGCCTGATCCAGTAAATCACATTAATCTTCATCAAGCCTACAGAAGCAAGAGTAATGAAAGAATACAAACTGGATTCTGGGGTGGAAAGAAAGTGGCAGTGCACCTCATAAACTGGCTTCCTTCCTCCCCCCCCCCCCAACCAGAAGGCAGAACTTATTTTGCTCCCTTCCAAAAGCCTCTTCACTCCCTTTCCCTGCATCACCCCCACAATATCACTTCTGCAGTCACCACGTATTAACTTCTCCAGGGGAAAAATATCAAAGAGGTTGTGCCAGTACTTAGAAATCTGAATATATCTTAAGAAATCACTCTCTTCCCTGCACACAAACATAAATGAAAAATGGATGAAGCAATTTGAGCAAGAGGATAAGGGAAAGATGAACAAGCACCACTGGGAACACCAGAGAGCTCTGACAAGTGTTCAGGTCCCCTGGCCTTTCCCAGCTTTCTTTGATGCAGCAAGGTTGGGATGCCCTTTTGATGTTAACATGATGCCTGAATTCTACCAGCCACTGATAGGAAGATGATAAAAGAGGTGGGATGTCAGATGGGCCAAGATATCCCCACCCACAGGAAACTGCATATTCTGTCACAGTTCCTGGGCTTCCATCTTACTTCAGAATATCCAAGAGAAGTGAGCCCCCAGCACGGATTAAGGAATACAAGCTGTGAGGCAAGACCACCAACCCAACTCCCAGCTAAGTTGCCATGGGTCTGTAAACCCTGCATCCTCTGTTACCTAGAGTAGCTTAGATAACATACACCAAAGCAGCAAGGTCCCTCCTTCAAGGTACCTCTTGACAAAAACCCCAATGAGCATTTTCCAAACACTGCAGCAAATATTATCTTTGACAATTATCAATGACCAAGCAACCTCAACTTCAGAAACTGCTATCAAAATATATTTCACATCAAAAAGTTACCTGCATATTTCTGTAAATCCAGTCTGTGAACTGAGTCATATTACCATACACTCCAGGTTTATTTACACTAGCACAGCCTGTTCCCCAACTTGTGTCACCTACTAACCACCAGAGGGCATGTTTCTCAGTTACCAGCGGACCACCACTGTCGCCCTAAAATAAAAACACAAAAAATTAAGCTTATTGTGACCTTTTCACTCAATTTTAAAGAAATAGCAACTGACATCAGACAAATCTTTCAATTGTAGTTATAACAAAGATAGTTAAACAAAATCCACTTCTCAAAGAAAGCGGGCAGGCTACAGCTGCAGAAGATGGCCCTAACATTGGGTCAAAGGACACACCTACCAGTTAGCAAGACCTGCAGATTGAGAGGTTTCTACTAGCCAGGGGTCATTTCATAGAAAAAAAGGTGGAGGAGCTCATTTGCATAATTTATTTGCATATGCCACATCCTCTGACAAAGGGCAGGCATGCAAGCATGCCTGGGTTCCCTGCCTGATCTTCTCCAGGTGCCCCACAGGGAACCCAGGTATGTTTAGAATGCCTTTCTTTCCCTTTCCCCCCCCCCACTTCCCTGAGTTTCTCTGCAAAAGCGGGATGGCTGGAGAAGTGGGCTGGCTGGAGAAGGGAAGGCAACAGCAGGCAGGTAGACATGCCTGGGTTCCCTGCGTGATCTAGGAACTAGGGATGTGCATTCGGTTCGTCCAAACGTAATGCACCCCCCCAAAAGGGCCATTCGGTCCCCTTTTGGGCAGCTGCAGACCAAACTCCTAACCCCCGACGCTGGCACCAAAGGAGCCCCATCGAAGGTTGGGAGAGGGAGTCCCAACCCCAAACTGGCCTGACCTAGGCCCAGGACCTCTGTCTTCGCCAGGTTTAGTTTCAGCCGACTCAGTCTGAGCCAACCAGCCACAGCTTGTAATGCCCGTTGGAGGTCATCTGGGTCGGCACTGTATATCTCATACTCTAAGGACCCAACAAAAAGGGTTTAATGAGTCAGAGCAACTGACAAAGTAGGTTTTGGTGCACAAAATATGCACCACAGTACATTTTTGCCTTTAAGGTTCCACAAGACTCTTGTTTTATACAATCTAAATAATCAGATACAGCCTTTTGAGGAACAAGGATCCAGAAACTGTTCACTACTGCAAGACACACAAAACAAGGCTCCTTTTGGGGGGCAGGAAGTAGAACATAACCACTTGTATAGCAGTGGAGGCAATAAAACATTAACGGATGAGTGCAGAGTGTTTTCCCTTTCCATCCCCTTTCCCATTTCTTATGCAAGTCCCCCAGGGGCATAGATGCTCTGTAGCCGAAGTCCTGAAAGCCTGGGGAGAGGCAGCATCCCTCCCAAGTTGTTCTTCGCTCCACCGCCACAGCCCCCTACCTCCACTCAACAGCAGGGCAGGCACACAGTGCAGATGCACACTCCGACTCACATGCTTCTTCTCACCTTGTGCTGGGAGGTCAGTTCAAAAGCTGCTTAAGTCATTCACCTAAAGTCTTCTAGACATGTAAAGTAAAGGTAAAGGTTCCCTTGCTCGAAAGCCAGTTGAATCAGACTCTAGGGTTGCAGTGCTCATCTCCGTTTCAAAGCCAAAGAGCCAGAGCTGTCCGAAGACATTTCCGTGGTCATGTGGCCGGCATGACTAAACACCAAGGCGCACTGAACGCTGTTACCTTCCCACCAAAAAGTCTACCAGCGCTTTGGTATCTACTTGCAATTTCTTGCTTTCGAACTGCTAGGTTGGCAGGAGCTGGAACTAGAGATGGGCGCTCACTCCATCATGCGGCACCCGGGTCTCGAACTGCTGAACTACTGGCCTTTCACAGCCTGCAGTTCAGTGTCTTAACCACTTGAGCCACCGCAGCTCCAATCTAGACATGTACCAAACCCTATAATACCTCCAGTGACATGGCTTTACCATCAGCAGAAGAGCAGGTGTTAATCCCCAAGCTACTAATGCTCCATTTAGGAGTGAGAGAGAGAGAGAGTGTATTTCCTTTTAACTGCATTTAATTGTTTACCTGTCAACTTCTTTTACCCCATGCACTTTTTTGCATCTAGATCTCTAAATAATATTGGTCCTCTGCACCTAGGTCTTTCTCACTGTGTGCACTGCCCAACTCAAAGCTTAGGTAAGGAGAAGCTGCTTAATATTCCACCTTTGTGCTATGTAGCATCTGTTAGGGCATGAAGTAGGGCTCTCAGTGGTGGTGCCAGTACTGAAGGACACACTGCCAGAAGATACCCAAGGAATATCAGTACTAATTTTTGGAAAATACTGCAAGAGCACCTTTCAACAGGCCTTTGATAATTATTCAGAGGTTTCCAATAGCTTTTCTGTACAGCTTTAAAGACTTAACTTCAACAGGCAGGAAGCCTGAGAAAAGTTACTCAGCACTTGGAAGAGAATTTCATCAGGGGGTATAGTTACATGTCACTCATATGACTTTTTCCAGTTAATGATTATCACTTGTGTGTTTCATAAGTACACAATTCAACAGCTAAAATAAAAATACTACCTGACAAGAATCCACTTTTCCTTCTAGATATCCAGCACAAATCATAGTAGATAGAACATGTCCGTTATAAACATGTCTGGTATTACATCTAGAGGATTCTATCAGAGGTACAATTGCAGCATAGAGTTCCTTTGAGGTATTCCCTAAAATTTAAAAAAACAAGGATGATGTAATACTTTACATTCAAATCTCAATTGCTAATGCGCTCATTTACAGTGTCTACACACATATGCAATTGAACTGGAAAAATGCATTTGAAATTGAATTGCATTAAATGCAGCACCTTGTGCAAAGTTCTGCATCGTTTAAAAGAATTCTGCACATTATTTTTTAGATCCCTGTGGTTTCAAATAATGTCCATTCAATTTGTAGAAGAGTGATATAAGAGATCCCTGTGGTACTGCCTTTGGCAGGTGCAATACATAGATCCAGGGCTTTTTTTGTAGAAAAAGCCCAGCAGGGACTCATTAGCATAATAAGCCATACCCAACAGCAGGAACTCATTAGCATATTAGGCCACACCCCTGATTGTGCAGCTCATTAGCATATCAGGCCATACCCCCATGTTACCAGAAGTTTGGTCATCCAGCCACACCCACCTTTTGCTTCTTATTCTGTTTACCTTGTTAGTTGTCAAAACCCAGGGGTTTTTTTGTAGCAGGAACTCCTTTGCATGTTAGGCCACACACCCCTAATGTAGCCAATTCCAATGAGTTTCTGCTGTTGGGTGTGGCCTGTTATGCTAATGAACTCCTGCTGGGCGTGGCCAACTCAGGAGCCAGCCGGAACTCCCTTCCTGTGCGTTCCTGCCCAAAAATAGCCCTGCATAGTTCTGACCCATACCGTCACTCTCTCCCAGTCTGAATAGTTTTGAAACAAATGTCTTCCAAAGTCTCACACACTTAAATGAAGATTTTACTATGATTGCAATCAATGTAGTACCATTCAGCTTGTTTTAGTGCCCTGCCCAACAATTTGGAAAGGAATTCATGGAATTTATTTATGTATTTATTGATTAAACTTTTAACCCGCCCTCCCGCCAAAGCGGCTCATTTAGGTGTTACGAATACTTTGTGTTTAGTATTAGTTCTATTATTTTATGGCTTGCTCTTTTAAGTAGTTAAAACATTTGACTGACAAATAAGTGGAACTATGATTATTTTTAAAGAAAAGGTATTTAAAATATTTGTACCTTGCCACTCTTTCACAGGCCTAAAGCATACATAGTGCTTCAAAATTCTCAGTGTTTATGTCCTCATTTTTTGCTGGTAAGCAATGAAGCTTTGGGGGGCGGAGTAACTAGCTAAAGATCACCTTGTTCCAGTATGTCAACTACTGGACCACATCAACTTATTCACTGCAGCAAAGTCAACTATTTTAACTCTACTAAAACTGTGCAATATGCCCCATTGGGGGCCCAATATACACAGAAGTGCTTGATTTAACTAATGCATAGTTAAAGCAAAACAGTGGTTTAAAGGGCAATCAGTTTTACCTCCTTGGCGTTGTGCTCCCCATCCAGATATCCAACAGCGTTCTGCAGGCTGAAATATCATTCCTGGGTTGGGCAAACAAACCGGCTCAATAGCTTCTGTGAAACAAGAACACATTCTTTAGCAGTAACTCTTTTGGAACAGAGTTAGACAGGAAGTTCACACTTATCACCAGTTATGCATCTTGGGCAGAAATGCAGATGTGACCAACTAACCCTAGAAAGGAAATCCCCCCCCCCGGGCAACTGGTAACCCTAGACTATACTTGTACATTTTTTTGCCTAACTACATACAAGGAGGAGGAAAGGAAGGAGAACACTGCACTGCAGAGAGCTCAGAAAATTATTTTATGTGGATTAGGCTTAGGGAAATGTGTTAAACAAATGTGTTCCGCTTACAGTAGATATATTTATGGAACAGATGTGATGCTATCACATTAATGGCGAAGAAGTGAAAAATACTTCCACATAGGGGAGGGACAAAGCTGCCTTCCAATAGCAACCTCTAATGCTTTGTAGGGTCCCTCTTCAGAAGCTGTGCAATTACTATGGCTTTTCAGAAAAAGGAGCTCAGTAAATCCTTCCTTCAAGACCATTTAACAGTAACTTGTTTTTATGGTTTTATTGTTGTTAAAATCTAATTGTTATGTTGGGTTTTTTTTAAAAAGCTACTGTTCTTGTCCCATGCTATGGTGTGTTTTGTTGATGCTATCTACTGTGTCTAGATTTTGATTCTATTATATGAAAACTGCACAGTTTTTAATCGGAAGTTGCAGTACCCTGTTAAATCGTGTCAGATTTGTGGGCATTAGTTCAAAGTAATAAGCTGTATTTACACATGCACACTCATTCCACATATAACTAAGTTTAGGGTGAACAAGATGCTTTACTGTTTAAAAAGGACAGTATTGCCTACCTCTGAGTTATGAAAAAAGCCATGGGGGTTGTTTAGTGAATGAAATTTATGTTAACATAGAAGGCTCAGCTAGCTTGCTCAAAAGGAAGCAGCCATTACTTTTACATTACCAATTGTAATTCATAAGTAGGGATATGGATTTATTAACCAAGCCTAATTCATTTTTGTTGTTATAACAACCCAAAGGAAATAATACTTTTATATTAGCTGTATATTTTGATAGCTCCAGGTGGGTAGCTGTATTGGTCTGAAGCAGTAGAACGAAGTCTCACCTTTAAATTCAATTGAATAAAATTTTGTTGGTCTTAAAAGTGCCACTGGACTCAAACTTTGTTCTATTTTGATATCTGTTTGTTTGGTTCAGAGGGTTTAAAATAGTTCAGACTAGGAGGAAAAGGAGTCAGGAGATAGAAAAATATCTCTTCTGTTGCAAGTTGGGGGGGGGGGGGTTACAGTCTTGACAGATCTCTTTCCACAATATTTCCACCAACCACCATTGGCTTATGGTGGATGCTCTTGAGCTTATATAAGTAACAAAAGTTTGTATTTATTTATTATCAGATTTATACCCAGCCCTCCCAGCCAAGGCCAGTTCAAGGTGGGGTATAAAGTTACTTTGCATACATTAGTAGTATTCTTAGAAATCGCATTTACAGTTTCTGGTGCTTTGCAAATTGTACAGCTATTGTGACTGACCCAAGTGATTGCACACAGGATAGGGATACATGCGACTTCCGGTTTGTGGATCAGTGATGGCAGTCGCTCTCCCCGGACCTTGGGGGAGCGGCCCACACACCAGCGGTATGGAGGGGTGCTACCTCAAGTAGCACTCACATGGAGCCTTTGCAATAGGCTCCAGGCCAGAGGGCTTTTGAAGGGCAGCCTCTTCGACGGCTTAGTGCAGGAGAATTGAGGCTTCCCTCCGCCCTGACGGTTCTGCTGCTGTGTGGCCCTCGGGGCACAAGCTGATTTGACTGGGACAAGTGCTGGAGATTGAGTGGAATATTGATTACTGTGAGCGAGGTCAGAGAAATTACCGACAATGGATGTGAGTTCAAAATAAACAGAATATTTTAAAAGTGAATTACCCCCCTCATGGGAAAAGTGGAGCGCAAAGAGGGACGCCTCTTATGTGAATGGACAGATAAGCATAACAAAGGGGCAGGGGGGGGAACAAGCAGCGATTTTGTTTTGAGATACTTACTTGAGTGCTGACATTGAAGTGACAATTTTTCGAGTTCATGAGAAGTGGTTTGGAATTGTAAACAATCGTATAAAATGGCCTCACAAAGAAAGTTTAGAACAAAACCGGCAGGTAGTCAGAGTCCAAAACCAGAAGAGGGAGCAGACGTCATGAAAATGTTAGCGGATATGCTCAAGCCGGTGATGGAGCAACTCGATGATATTAACCAGCAACTGACTTCCCTGAATCAAAACTTCACATCCCAGCAGCTCCAACTGGCAGAAATGGTGAAGAAGGTGGAGCATACGACTGAGAGAATTAAGAAAATGAAGAAAAGAATGGGGGAAGTTGAAGCAAAACAAAACTTCCAAGAGAACCTTTTGTTACAGCTACAAATGGAAAAAGCCAATATGATTCTCAGATTCCAGGGAGTTCCTGAATCGGAAAAGGAGGATCTGAGGAAGTTGCTCAGTCAGATCATCGCCCCAGCAATAGGCTCAACAGCAGATGAAGTAGTAAAAGAGATGGAGACTGCTTACAGGGCATACTCCAATTATATATTTTTTAAAAAGCCTGCCTGAAGAAATTGTGGTCAGATTCTCAAGAAGACAGACCAGACATGCTATTTTAAAAGCGACTTCCGCAACTCCACTGAAACTGGGGAATACAAACATTAAAACTTTAAAAGACATCCCATTTGAAATTCGCCAAAGAGGAAAAGCTATAAGGACTTAATTTCTTTTCTTCAAACCAATGGAATTTCATACAGGTGGGTGATCCCAGAGGGTGTCATCTTTAAAATCAACAACAAAAGAGAAAAGATTGACTCCATTTTTAAAGCCAAAGAATTTTTTATGGTATACAGAGGATGAGATAGTTAAAGAGCAGATTATAAAATGGGTGGTTAACATGAATAAAGAAATATTGATGTCATCTTGGGAATATTTATGGAAGAATGCAATGAAAATATCAACGTGTGATAATTTAAAAGAAATTGTTATAAGATGATGTATAAATGGTATATGACACCAAAAAATATTGCAAATATGAATAGTAATATGTCAAACAAATGTTGAAAGTGTAAAAATGTGGAGGGCTTGTTTTATCATTTGTGGTGGACATGTGAAAAAGCAAAAATGTTTTGGGCTGAGATACATGCAGAAATGGAAAAAATTGTGAAATGTAAGTTTAAGAAAGAACCGGAAATATTACTTTTGGGACTTAAAATGGAAGAAGTCAATATGGCAATATGTGGTATATGATCACAACTGCCAGAATGACATATGCTCAATGTTGGAAACAAGATAAGGTCCCTGAACTTGAGGAATGGATTAAAAAACTACTTTTTATGGTTGAAATGGATAAAATGACAAGGAAACTTAACAACTTGGAAGCAGAAGAATTTTTTGCAGACTGGAAAGACTTTAAAGATTATTTGGAGAAATACTGGGATGTAAAGGACAATTTGCTTTGAGAACTATTGAAAATTAAAGGATAGTAGAAAATAGATAAATGTATAAGAATAACTGCTGAAAGATAAGTTACCTGTGATTGTGAACAAGGAGAATGGGAGGTATGGAAAAAATTTAAGAATTGGGCTGGAGGTTGGAGCACTGTGGGAAGCCGAGAAGGAGGGGGAAAGGGAGGAGGGAAGGATATATAATTATATAAGTTTTGATATATGTTTGAACTTTTTTTATTATATCCTAATAAATTGTTTTTTGGGGAAAAAATAAAGCCAAAGAATTTTTGAGACGTCAGTTGGGACCGGAAGAAGAATCCAAAGAGGAAGAATCGAAATCAAGTGACTCCGCTACCTCTGGAACGGATGAGGACTCTGCCATAGAAACGGGTGCAGACACAATGATTTCAGAGACAGAAAACTGAAGTAAAGGAAGAAGGACTCTGAAATTTGCCTTTTGAAGCAAATAACAAGAAGATGCTCAGAAAGTTCTCTCACAACAACTAACATACTAACATTGAAGCCGAGACAAACAAGAACTCTACAAGTATATTGTTGTACTAACACTTTTATTAATAACACTTAGATTAACACGGATATGATCTCCTCTTGGGTTTTTAGTACAGTGTGGTTATCTATCCTTTATCCTTAGATGTAGTCCCCTTCCCTTATATTTTCTTTGTAGTTTTGTAGTCTTACATAAAAATAATAAAAACTATCCCTCTGGGGATTAAAAAAAAAAGATAGGGATACATGCAAGAGTTAAGAATATATTCCTGTTTAGCTACCACCTGCCTCACTGTTGTTAGTTTCGTTATACATTTGAAGGAACAAGCTAATGTTATATTACTCTGTAATTCCAACCCTTTTAAAATTTAGTCTAGTGTAAATCTGTCTATAACATTAACAAGGCAATCCTAGGCTACAGTCATGTTGTGTAATACAAATTATTTCAATGAGATGCAGAATTAACCCTGCATGGGATTGCTCTTTAAGTATGTTAGTGACCGGCTTTTGTGTCATTGCTATTTGCAGTGCATACAAACAACCATTTCTTGTGCAGTACTCATTCTGAGTACACACACAAAGTAATTTTCCCTAACACTATTATCCTAGTCTTTGTTTTCCATCAATCACTTAAATTCACTGACTGAACCTATAAATCAGTGGACTGTGTAGACAAGTCAAGACAAAAGGCAAAAGACAGTGTGGCTTTAGTATGTTATTTGTCTTTCTTAGGGTGTCAAATACTTCCCTCTGCTGGAAGACTCCGATAAACATATTTCACTGCAGCACAGAAGGCTGAAGTAAGAAGGGAGGGTGAAATCATTTTCTTCCCCTTTCAGTGGCAGAAAGGTTGTTCCACTACCGACCAAAGAGGGAAAGGAGGACAATTTCAACTAGTTCTTGCTATTTGTTGGCATTCTCTATACCAGGGTCCCCTAATCCCCAGCCAAGGATTTTTTGGGTACAGCAGAGCTGCAGTGAAAAGCAGGAAAGACATGTTCAGCGTTTTTTCTCAATCTTTTCCCACATGATCCAGCCCAATGGAGATCCCACAAAATATATGCTTATTACACTGGCACCATTTTTAAAAAGTGTGATAAGTCTTTTGCTAACTCAGCTACAGCCATTAGACAGCATTAATCAACACCAGCAAAGAAGCCCCAGTCCTCAATTTTCTACTGAATTATTAGAATTCATAACCCCGTAAGAGTCACTCCTATGTCATAATTGTTTGATACTGGTTTAGTGTAGTTATAATTTTGTTTTAAAAACTATCCTGCCTTCAAGATGGCACAGTCTCCTGTTACCTGCCAACAAGAAGGCAGGATATGTGTTTTTAAAAGGTAAATATAATGCATACCATCAAACTTTAGAGGAGACTGCAACTTCATAAGAGCAACATCATTGTTTTTAGTCTCTGAATCATAGTTCGGATGAGAGATTATTTTGGCTACTCTGTGTCCCTTTGGTCGAAGCATTTCCTGCTGCAACAGAATTCCAGCATAAACTCTCCAGTAAAATGGCTGAGAATATGACCTACAAAAATACAAAATGATAAAAAGACCAAAAGCTAACAGTATTTCCACTTCAGTATTTCATACGTTACTGAAGCATTATCTTCCAGTGCCAAAGCTTTGGCATTCTTTTGATGAATGATTCCACTCATGCCAGGACCCTCTACAGAGGAGGGAGGGCAGCAAATACATTCAGAACATTTGACTGAAAGAGGAAAAAGCAAGCAGTGCAAACATTCCACACACAAGCATCTTTGCTATTTTAGCAGGTTTAAAGGAAAGGAAGCAGTACATATGATTCATATCTCTGTGCAAAAACTGGACAGCCACATTTATAAGCTTGTGAAATTTTAAAATATCTTTCACTGTTAACTGAATTATACACACACATTCCAAATTACACATTTTAATGAAATGCTATTAATGCACAGTTTGCAAGATCCCTTGGCAGCAATCGTTCAGCACTTACCCTTCTACACAGTGAGCTGCTGTAACAATCCATTCAGGAGTGATAATGGACCCACCACATAGATGGGTTCCTTGGATATGAAGACTGACTTGCCATGGCCACTCCCCAAGTGCAGCCAAATTTCCACCCACAATTCTGTTTCGAGGATTTGAGTTTTTACTTGACAAGCCACATTCTGTGAAAACACAATTAAGCAAAATAAACAAAACCAGAAGATGCTATGGGCACATTCTACACCTATTCCTGTCTCATTACTATCATCCAGTATCCTGGCAAGAACATATATTAGTATATATTGAACATAAATTAGGTCATTCTTTTACTTTACCAAAATCCATTTTTTACTTTAGAGCTCTTCCAATACATATACCACCTTCTCTACTAAGAGACTGGCAGAACAATGTCATTAAGTTTATCTGGCAATATAAAAAGCCTCGTGTGGGATTCTCTATTCTCCACAGGCAGGTACAAAAAGGTGGGCTAGCTGTACCTGATTTATTTCAATACTATATGACTTGGTCAGACACCTGGGAGCGAGAGCGGGCGGGGGAAATCATCTGTTTGAAAAGCCTTCGGTGGAGAGAGGACCGAGCGGGGCCGGCGGGGAAATTGCCAGGCACGGCGGGAAGGTGGAGGGGGAGAGGCCTCTTTGGCGGCTTTGCAAACTTATTTGCGCCGGACCCGCCGCCGCTCGGCTTTCTTTATCTAGGGGGGAAAGCTGCCCGGTGGAGCGGTTGGAGAGAAAGAAATGAAGGCCCCAAATTGGCCGGCGATTGAATAAACTGCGCCGCAGAGACCTCCGCCCCCAGTCTGGGATGGAGGGGGGCAGGAACAAGCTGCAAACTGAACACAGGACATTGCTTTATTATACCAGTGTGATGTCAGGGGGTGTGGCCTTCTGACACACTTCCGGTGATGTCAGGGGGTGTGGCATATACTAATGAGTTATGCTAATGAGCTCCGGCAGCTCTTTTTCTACAAAAAGACCCCTGCCTATTACCATAACTGGTAGCAATGCAAATTTATCTCAATCGTTTGGAAGCAAACAGTAACACAAATTCAGTTGATTACGGGATATAAAATTCTAGTTGATCCCACATTGATCTTGTTAAAACTTATAGTCCGACAAGATGCCAATAACAAGTAAGAAAGATCTTATAATAACTCTTTTGACAGCAGCAAAGGCTTATAGATGGAAAGACAAAGATCCACCTATGTTGCAGCAATGGATAATTAAAATTTGGGACTATTTCATATTTGAACCTCTCAAGCTTATGACACAAATGCTATTTTGCAAAGGGATAAGTGGCTTTTTTTTCTTAATTGGATGGAGACGAATCAGGTCAACCATAAGGGCAAGTGGCCAAATAATTATAGAGTGTATTTATATTGTTATTTACCCATTTATTTATGTATGTATTTGTTAAACTTTTATCCCACCCTCCCGGCCGAGGCCGGCTAACAACAGATAACATTCCAAATTACATATGGAGAATAAATACAACTTTAAAATACTATATATACTAAAAGTTGAGCTATTTAGACATTAAGTCACTATTAGTTTTAGATGGATTTTATATGTCCATATTTTTGGTATGTTCTTGAAGCTTTTTATATGCTAACTTGTTTTTTGCTTAATGGGGTGTACCTTCTGTTTTATAGAGAATGATGATGTATATGTATGAGGGACCTATCAGTTATTTGCATTGTTCATGGTTTTGTCACAATTTTTCAATAAAAATATGTTATCAAAAAAAATTATGTCATGTAACTTCAATTAGAACCACCCTGTGAATTAGGTTAAGTAGACTGAGCTTTGAGACAATGGGTTGATCAAGCCCTGCCAATGAAAGGCAAAGGTCTCCTTGGTCCATATCCAGTGCTCCATGGTCTACAGCAAACTTGTTCTCTCTAACTGAACTAAAGAAAGAATTTCAGAAAGAACCATTCTCCATTTAGCAGATTATTGTACTACTTATTAAAGGTAATTTTCATTTTCACCATAACCTGTTTTGTACATTCATCGGCTCACAAAAAATATTTTTAGTTATTGGAATATGTCAGTCAGCACAAATCAACACTTACGTATGCATCTTAAAGAGACCACACTTCCTGATGAACACTGCTTGCTGCAATACAAAAGTGAGATTGAATAAGACTTAAACAATATATGGATATGAAGCCTGCTCACACCGTTTGCAAGCATCCTCTACATTTTGACAGTTTTATCAAAGCTCCAAGTGACAGCAAAGTACTTTAATGAATACACTGATCTATTGACATTTGTAACCAGTACCAGAATTATGGGTGATTTGCTTTCATGTGCAAAAACATGACTTAGCAGGGGGAAAAGTTTGGAGTTTACAGATTGTATTAAGGTCCAAATATCCTTAGAGGCACATGTAGAACTATTTTATAGCTGTTTTAATCAAACAGCATTAACATTCATTTATTTGACTTGCATGCCAGTAATGATTCCAAGAGCCACAGGCAGAGGTATAGAAGTACCACCTGTTATACAGTTTCTTGTATAAGTCTGTATCATCAGCACTTGTATTCAGCCTCATAAAGGTTGTAAATGAAGAAGTAAGTTTTGTTGCCTTGCTGCTGAAATACGTGTCCCTGTAAAAGGCAAAAAAGAAACCAACAAGTTCCGTCAAAAACAGCCAAAAACAGTTATTTCCTATTCTATCACAAAAGTCAGCTTTAGCAAGGGAAAAACCCTCTATATACAGGCCCTATCCCACCAACTCTGACTACTGAACAATAGCACCCAACAGCTTAAAAACCCCTGCAGTAATAGATTTCCAGTTTTGTTTCTTCTGCCACCATTACTGTAGTCACAGCCCAAGTCCAGTGCTAAAAATGTTGCTGCAATCATGGTGGTTAACTTTCAGGAAAATACCCCCAAAACACCACCACCACTGGGATGAAGCATGATTCCGCATATCCTGACAAAGCTGCAAATCATGCCTAGTTAATTCTTTATGAGCACTGCAATGCTGATGAAACAGCCCGGTGCCATCACCTCTTTGGCTACAGTGATATAACCCAATTATATATTCATTGATATTTCATATTTAAATGTTTATACTGAGCCTTTCTCAAAACTCGGCAGCTTTTAGAGTGTAACAGATATCTTAATCCCCACCCTCATTGACCCAGTTCTAATTCATGTAACAGCTTGTATCAATGCCCATATTGCTGTACTAATAGAAGGTGGCTTTGAGATCATTCAGTGTGCCAGTACAGTACAACAGGCTGCAAAACAGGGGTAGACCAAACTGTTCTGGTTCCCAGTCCTAAACCTTTTGTTTTCTAGTACAGCAGACCAAAGCTTGAGTATTTCATATTCTATTTACATTTCCCAGATATTTATAATGATCTGACCATATCAGGAACCTACAGTTGCCAGCTCGGAGTTGGGAAATATCTGGAGATTTGGGGGATGGAGAGTCTGACTAGGAGAGGGACTTCAATGGGGTATAATGCCATAGAGTCCACCTTCCAAAGCAGCCATTTTCTCCAGGAGAACTAATCACTGTTGCCTAGATATCTGTTGTAGTACCAGGAGATCTCCTGCCACTACCTGCAGGTTGGCAACCCTGCAGGAACCCCTATCAAAGGCTGAATTTTCACTAAAATAATCTAATTTCCATTCAACCTGATACACTAAGTTTCAAACATGCAATAATGTATGTCACATAATGACTGTGTGGGCCAAACAGATGGTTTGGGAATAGTGATGTTTTAAATATACACCCCTTTTAGAAACTTAAGTCCAAAAATAAATTGTGAACCTCTATTTAAACATTTTAGCATCAGAGCTGTATGAGTCTCATGTCTTTTTCTTTCTTCCCTTTGTTATTTTAGCATTTTGTGGGGGGGGCATACCTATGCCTGGAAGTCATGGCGACCCTGGTGACTCCTACTGGGGCATGAAGTATGTTCAGAGAAGTGGCTTGATAACCTACCTCTGCCTCTTAACCCTGGTATTCTCTAGAGGTCACTCATCCAAATACTTGCCAGGGTCAGCCCTGCTTAGCTTCTGAGATCTGACAAGTTCAGGCTTGCCTGGGCTATCCAGTCAGGGCCCATGCCTTTTTAAAGCAAAAGTTTATTCTTTACACTTACATACCATCTTCATACAGATGCAACTTTGCAAAACCATTTAAAATATATTAAAATATCATTGTTACACAATTTTCTCTTGGGTTTGTTTGTTACTGTAGCTATCAAGGAATTTGGAATGATAAAGGTACATTGGAAATATTGCCACCTGGAAGTTATTATTAAGAGATATCTTCTAAAATTACACTGCAACAAGTCAATACACTGGTTCAGTACCTTTTGGTGACATAAGCACTAAGCCAATTAGTAGTTTATTCAAAATCAATGCAAATACTAAAGTAACAGGGAACAGAATAGAAACATGTTATGTTACCTTAGAACTATTCAACAGCCATGAAATTTAAAGTGTTTTCATCAATACATGTTGAAGACACAACAGCAAGATCCCTGGGAAATATTAACAGTTTTATCTTTTCACGAAATTGCACCGTAGACTTCCAGGTTTTGGTGGCACGATGGCAGATGCGACCCTGGTGAACTCCCAGGGGCGCGATCTGAATGCCGGTAGCTAGGAGGGGGGCGACTGTTCGCTACCCCCCCGGAACCCTTTGTGATAGGGCTCCTAGCCAGGGGGCTTCTGAGGGATTGCCTCTTCAACTGGCTCGATGCCGGGAAATTGAGGCTTCCCTCTGCCCCGAAGGTACCACTGTGTGGCCAAATGGCTTAAGAGTCGCTGACTGGGACAAGCGTGTGAAGATCGGATGATTTACATGTACCTCAAGCGGGTCTAGAGACCAACGATGAACTGTGAGTTGAGTTGAAAGCAGGACACTGAGCTTCGGCGAGAAAGCCCCTCTGATCTAAGCGAGGGGGGGAACTCCCAGATGCGAAATCCAAACAAAGCATTTTAAAAAGAGGGCACTGGATGTAAAAGCCATAGAACTGATTTAAGAAACACACCAAAGCGCAAGCAAAGCATTTTGGTGAAAAATAGGGACTCTGGCAAACTTTTCTAAAAGTAAACAATCCTCAAAAATGGCGGGGTGGAGAGGCGAGAAAGAGAAACCATCACAGCTTAAGCCTCCTTCAGGAAGCAGAAGCCCGAGACTGGAAGCTACCAATGAGCTTTCACAGCTATTAGCTGAATCATTGCGCCCTCTGTTGGACCAGATGACAAACATCAATCAGCAATTGGTCACTTTGAACCAGAATTTTGCTGCACAACAACTGGAACTGAATGAGACTAAGAAATTAACAGAGCAAACAGGAGAAACACTGAAGGAAGTTAATGGCAAATCTAAAAATGAGAAAAAATGTTTACAGAAGTTGGAAAAGAGAAGAATTACTGATGAATCTCAGCTTTTGCAACTACAAATGGAAAAAGCAAGCTTCATCCTGAGATTTCAAGGTGTTCCTGAGACAAAAGGAGAGAATCTAAAACAAGTATTGGGCGATTTACTTGCACCAGTGGCAGATTTGAAAACAGAATATTTACAAAGCGAAATGGATGTGGTCTACAGATCATATTCGGAATACATTAATAAAAATAAACTGCCTGGAGAAATAGTGGTTAGATTCTCTAAAAGAGATGTGAGGGATCAAATCTTGAAAACAACATCAGGTACACCCCTGAAAATCAACGGTAATACCATACGGACACTAAAAGACATTCCATTTGAAATTAGAAAGAAGAGGAAGAAATTCAAAGACTTGGCATTGCTCTTACAAACAACATACAGTACAAATGGCTGGTTCCCGAAGGCTTACTCTTCAGAATAAATGAGAAAAAAGAAAGAATTGACTCTGTTAAGAAAGCAAATGAGTTCTTGAAGCAGCAACTGGGAAGGCCCAGAGAAGACGACAAAGATGACGACCAGAGTAAAGAAATCTGTGAAAACTCTTCTTTAATGTTGGAGGAGATCTCTGATTCAGAGTTGGGGGCTGTGGCCCCCAAAAGAGACTATGATTTGAGGAAAAGAAATGCCAAGAAATGAGATGCTGAGGAACTCTGAATTCAACCTTTAATAAGCTATATTTATCTATGATGCTTTTATTGCCTTTATTGATATCGGGTTTTGGGGAATATAGGCTAGAGTTAAACATTCAAGCTCATTGTATCATTAATAGATTAGATTAATCATTTTATAAACTTATGTAATGATCTTCACTACTTGAGTTTTTAGTCGTTAACTTTCCTTTCTCCCGTAGATATTAGATTCCCTTCCCTATTTTCTTTGTAGTTTATAGAAAAGCAATAAAAAATCCCCTTCGGGGGGCCAAAAAAGGAAGAAAAAGAAATTGCACCAAAATATATGTCAAGATACTATACATGCAAGAACTTTAAACTGCTTTGGTATACTCAGCCCACATTACTGTTATTTATTTTAATCTTCTTTATTTTAATCAACAGTCTAGCAGCTATGTGCTATGTCTCCAAATACTCTTCAAAAGTATCTCAAGACAAAGTGTTACAGTAGTCTAGTACAAACATCTCTAAGTCATTAGTAACCACAGCGAGATCCCTACGGTCAAGGAAGGTATGCTCCTTGTAGACCAAGCAGAAGTGGTTAAATAATGTTCCTAGCCTCAGTCACCAGGTGACAATCAAAGAACAGAAGTGGACCTAGGAGTAGCATTAGCTATGAACAATGGTTTCAAAGGAAGTCCAACAAAGGTACAAACGTCTGCACCCAGGTTTTTAATGAAAGTATCACTATATTTTGGGTTTTTTAAACCTTTCAGCCTGATTAAAAGTTCTAGATAACTCGACTTCCGGCTACGGCAGAGCGAATGGCGGTCGCACTCTCAAGACGCTCCCGGAGGCGATACGCCCACGCATGGTTGGGGGGGACTCCGCACAAGTGGAGACCCTAGGAGTCTTAGTGAAAAGGCTCCAGACCAGGGGGCGCACCGGGGAGTCACCTCTTTCTCGACCTGATGGTCGGAAATTGAGGCTTTCCCCATGCCCCAAAGGCCCCACTGCGTTGTGCCGCGTTGTGCCCTGACGGGACTTAGCAACGCCACCGGTCTCTTCGGAGTGATGAAGCGATGAGGCGAATATAAAAGACATTGGCTACTAACTGTGAGTTGACGATTGAAAAACAACTTAAGTGCATATCTCCCCCCCCCCGAGTAAGCATATGGGAGAAGGGTGAGAGAGGGGGAGGAGTAAAAAACTGAAACAGAAAAGTTACCTTTTGGGGAATATCCTAAAGCGAAGAAGAGGGATTTATTCCCAAGCTGTGTGGCACGAACTTTTGAAAAGTAAACAAAAAGTAAAGATGTTGGGGCCAAAGAGGGAGAAGGAGAAGCAGGTGAAGAAGCAGATGGGAACTTCCAGTCCTAGCCCCCGCCTTTTGGAGCTAGCTGCCACTCAACATGAAAGAGAGATGCTTCGCCCTCTGCTGGATCAAATGCAAAAAATCAGTCAAACATTATCTAGTATGGAAAGTGTCCTCAGTAGTCAACAGACACAATTGACGGATACAGCTAAGAAGATGGAGGAGATCGCAAAGAAATATCTGATGTCAGTGGAAGATACACAAAAAATCAAGAAGAAGGTCAAGAAAATAGAAAAAACCCAAGAAATACAAGATAACAAGTTATTGATGTTACAGATGGAAAAATCAAATTTAACTCTCCGATTTCAAGGAATCCAGGAGGTTGAGAAGGAAGATCCCAGAAGCATATTGGTGAATGCTTTGGCGCCACTGACGGGCAGTGAAGCAGATAAGTTAAGTGAAGAGATGGATCTGGTTTACAGATCCTGCTCTAACTTTACAAAGAAAAATAATCTGCCTGCTGAAGTGGTTGTTAAATTCACCAAACAATGCATCAGAGATCAAATATTAAAAGCGACATCATCAAAGCCCTTGAAGATTGGAGAATAGACCATAAGGATTTTAAAAGATGTATCATTTGAAATCCGTATGAAAAGGAAGGCGTATAAAGGACTGACCACATTCTTGCAAAATCATCAAACCAACTATAGATGGTTGATTCCAGAAGGACTTGTTTTCAAGTTTAAAGAAAAAAGGGAAAAGATAGACTCCATTTTCAAAGCTCAAGACTTTTTGAAGAGGCACGCCAGTTCAGAGGAAGAGGCAGAACTTGCTACATGAAAGACATCTAGCAGCGAGGGGGACAGCAGCTCCGAGAGTGGAGACAGGGAACCGGAGGAAGGAGGAGCTGTAGGAGGAGTACCCTATAATCTGAGGGACAATTAAGGGAAATACCCCAACACCTGAAAAACTTTGCAAAGTGATTGCAAGGACAATATTACCGATAACCCGAAAGGACATTACTAATATAGTTAACACCTTTATTATTTTACAGATAAAGAAGAAAGATCGGCCAAATACAGAAGAAGCCATAGATTGTAATATTACTAACAAAAGATTAACATACTAATTTAATCATCACTCAACACTATTCTTAATCCCTCTATATACCCTCCCCCTTTTCTGAAAAATTTAAAAGCAATAAAATTCTTTCTTTTTTAAGAGAGTTTTTTTTTAAAAAAGTTCTAGATAACTCCAAAACGTTTACAGTGTTTTAAGGTATTTGGTTGGTCCCAATAAAAGGTATTACATGACTTTTGCTATCAGATTATACTTACTTATTATATCCCATGTCTACACAGGCAGTCTTCCCATAGTCATCATTCCAGTCATCATAGCATACAGGGTACCAATCTTTGCTTTCCGATGAGTAAACTTCCAGAAGAAATCTTGATCCATAGAGTCTAACTACAATTAAAAAAAAAGTTTGTCAGTGACCTTGAGAGTTATTGTTCATTATTTTTACATTTCTCAAAGTTCATGAAGTCTCAAAGACAGTTCCGCAGGGCCTGCAAGATGGAGCTCTTTCACCAGGCTTTTAATTAGGAGCCGCACATAACCACTGCACTCTGTTAGGCCCTCTCCCTGGATGTTCCATCAGCAGCCTGTGCCCACCAGCAAAATCAGAAAAGATAAGCTGAATTCCAACTCTGACCATTCCCTTTGTTTAACCAACACGTCCTACTGTGACCACTATACAATTTTATAATGTTATTATTACCGTCTATTCTAGCTCTAACATCTTGCACTTTATGTTTGTTATAATTGTATGATAAATTAAGATGTTTTATGTGTTGTATTTTATATGTCTATGTATTTTACATAAGCTCCCCTGAGCCTGCCTCAGCGGGGAGGATGGGATATAAGTTGAATAAATAAATAAATAAATAAATCCATAAGAAGATTAAGGGCTGCTTCATACAACAGTTTACAAGTGATGTTCTGTCTATACAGAAATCTCTACACTACTGAATAAATACCACAGCAACGCCCCCACAGGCCCTCTCAGCAACACCATCAATGTCATTTACTCTTGAGCAAAGTCAACCTTTGCCAGGCAGAAAGTTTCCTTGAAAAAAACAGCCAGTTGAAGCTAGAGGATACGGAAAAGCATTACAAGGAGGTTCTCTCTGGGGACCTGTAGTAGCTATCTGCACAGTATCTTCCCACTGTCAAGCTGGAACTGCCAACCCCTGCAAAGTCCTGAGCTGGTCTTTACCAAGTTCAGCCACAATGAGCAAAAAAAAAAGTGCACCTCTAATCTTCCAAAAGTGCTTTAACAGCAGCCAAAAACTAGAGACCTAGATGACACCAGGGGAGGAAACAAGTCATGCACGCAAGCTGGATAACTGGAGAATTCCCAGTTTGGCAGGTACAAGTACCCTATAAACAGGTTACTTAAGCAGAACTTGTCTGCAGTCATTAACCAGTTACTGTCTTCTCTGGCAAGAGGAAATATTGTTTGCCAAATTTGATATGATGATTGATGACATGCTTCCGATGCCCATACAATGACAGAAGCATGTAACTTTGTTCAAATGCCTCTCATCTGAAATTTCTGTAACATCCGGGATTTTCCAGCCATTTCATAGAAATATGGCTACTAGGGTTGTCCAAGTTTATTCTACACTTTGATGCTGCACTAATCATGAGTCTCTATTGAATCAGAAGCTCTATTGATCAATCAGGTACCAGAGTCACAAAAGAGGAGGAGGAGGAAGAGGAGGAGGAGGAGGAGGAGAAGGAGGAGGAGAAGGAGGAGGAGAAGAAGAAGAAGAGATTGGATTTATACCCCGCCCTTCACTTGGAGTCTCAGAGTGGCTTACAAACTCCTCTCCCTTCCCCTCCCCACAACAGACACCCTGTGAGGTGGGTGGGGCTGAGAGAACTCTGACAGAAACTGCTCTTTTTCAAGGACAGCTGTGCCAGAGCTTGTGACTAACCCAAGGTCACATCAGCAGGTGCAAGTGGAGGAGTGGGGAATCAAACCCGGTTCTCCCAGATTAGAGTCCGCACACTTAACCACTACACCAAACTGAGGAAGTGTCAGCTAGGAGTTTACAAAATTAATTTCCTGGAATACCACACTGATGCGCCTAGCATCCATCTAAATGAAGACAACATAATACTTGGTACCCTTTCACCAAAATTCAGACAAGAACATCAGATTGTCCTTTGACTATACACCTAATAGCACAACTTTCAAAAACATAAAGCCATCATAGTACCATTGATTTCTGTATAAAAGAGCTTAGTGCAAGTGAATTCACAAACTGACTGAAGCCTTTCAAAACATCATGAAGCTACTGACCTCCGACCCTGTTCCTGTATCATCAGCAACTATTCAGTAACGTACATTGCTTTTTACTCACTGATGGTGACAACAGAAACAGCAGAGATTGATTTCTGAAAAGCATTGGCTTTCACAAAAAATATTACAATTATGGTTTATGGGTAGATCTTCAAAATCCAACATGATACCAAGCAATTTTTTGTTTGGTTTTTTTTTAAAAAGCTAAAAACAAACCAGCATATCTAAGCTTGTGTTCCTATATGCAAACCTGGAGGTGTTATGTTCAGTGCTTATGATTACACACTCTTCTACAGTCCTAATGCTAATACACTGAGCCACTTATCCTTACATAATCTAACAAAACTAATCCTCCACCAACATAAATTATCATGTTGGAATTCATGCTGAAGCATCTTCAAACAGAAGAGATAGCAAAGATGACATCAACAGACCCTAGCCTGGCACATATTCTCAGTTTGGCATGGGAGGGATGGCCATGAGAAACTGCCAGAAGAATTAAAGCATGGTCATGTTAGCAAGAGCTTTCTGCTCTTGGAGGATGTCACCTATGGTCAAATTGTGTAATAATTTCAGAAACACTACATGTAGCATGTTCCGTCTGACGCTGTGTCAACAACGCCTTCGGGACGTGATTCAACGCACGGGCCAGGGTCAAGTAGAATTAAATCATTTTTATTCAGTTGCACATGCATTCAGAAGGGTTCTACTCACATTGAAGCTGCATAACTGGTGAAATCTAATTCTGGCTCATGGTGAAAAGGAATGCGCATCCCACCTCCTTGCCGTTTATAGAGAACAAAAGGCTACAGGAAGAGAGTTGTAAAACTCGAACCCTCGTGCGCCTCTGTGTGCCGGATGCTGTGGGATGTCTAACTAAAGACTTCAATTCCCAGGAACCACTGCTCTTAAAGATATATGGCAGTTCTACTTAACTACAATCTCAAAGTTGACTGGGGGCAGCACATAGCACACTCAAGGACTGAACTGATGAAAGCACTGGCCAGAACCTGGCTGGGAAAAAGAACTGAGAGCATGTAGCACTTATCAACCTGCTTCCAGGAAAGATCTGAGGCAGGAGAACTCTCTGGGAAATGACCAGTAATCCCCAGTCATCACTAGCCTTTATCAGGGAAAGAACTTTAAACTGTTGTACACTCTTAGTCAAAATAGCTTAACCATTATTCTAACCCAAAATTCCACAGCTGCCGTTACAGCTCTTTACCAGTTATCCAGGATTTGATATGTTAGCCATAATTTCCCCCCAAATATAACAGCAATACATTTATCTTGGGAAAATCCTACCTTCATTTCAAGCTATAACTGTTGCACCTTTCAGAGCACAAGACAACAAGCAAGCTGATTGAATGGTACAAGCCACAAGAGATGCAATGAACAATGTATTGTAACTAGTCAACAAGAGGGGCAAGATTCCTTTTTGCTCCTCATATTATTAATTTCCCTATCATCATGAGCCAGTCCAGCAGACCTTCATACAGTCAGTCATATCAGGACATTAACTTTAACCATAATTTAGAAAATGTAAATCCCATCTCTTCAGAGACTGCTTGAGGTGGTACACAAAGAACAAATACAATAAAAACCATAACACTACCACCATAAAATTGTCAATATTAGATTTTTATTAAGGAGTTGATCTTTTAAAGTTTGTTTTAAGAGACTCATTTTAAGCTGTTAAATGTTTTGTGTTGTTTTATGTTCTGGTTGGTTTTTAAATTATTAATTTTTAACAATTGTATAGCAGCATGGTGTAGTGGTTAAGAACAGCAGACCCTAATATGGAGAACCAGGTTTGATTCCCCACTCCTTCACCAGAAGCCTGGTGGGTGATCTTGGGCCAGTCACAGGTCTCCCAGAACTCTCTCAGCCCCACTTACCTTACAAGGTGCCTGCTGTGGGAAGAGGGAACAAAGGTGATTGTACACCGCTTAGGGCAGAGAAAAGTGAGGTATAAAAACCAACTCTTCTTCTTTTATCATGCTTTACTCTGTAAGCTGCATTAGGCAAGCTCTCTGGAGAGGTGGCATAGAAATTTTCGTAAACAGCAGCAAACCAACAATAGTAGCCTAAAATGATACCCACAGAACAGTTCTCAGGCAAAAAGATGAAACAAGTCTGCATGGAGAGAAAATTTTTGGCTTAGTTTTAAAAGGCCAGTAACATAGGTGCCAGGTGAGGCTCAAGGAGTGGGCATACCATTATCCACATGCCACCACTGCAAAAGCTCTGCCTCTGATTGCTACCCACTTCAATAGGTGGGACACAGAGAGCAGGACTTGGGACTAGGTTGCCATTGGCCTGGTGGGGGCAGGGGATCCCCCGATTTTGTGGGCTCCTGCCCGCTGCTGGCTATGTGGCTGGTGGGAGGGAATCCCCCTCAAACACTGACATTGCATGTGACGTGCCTGCATCACCTGGAAGTGACATCAGCACTCCGGTGACATCAGGGGTGATGCTCTGGATTTTGGGCAAAACTCTATGGTTTGATGCAGATTGTCCAGGTGATGCAGGCACATCATGTACAATGTCAGTGTTTTAGGGGGAATGGGGGGTGGCATCAGTTCCCACTCCTGGAACATCCCCCATTCCCCCGCTGGTGGGCAGAAGGGACCTGGCAACCCTACTTGGGACACAGACAACAGGACTTTGGGGGGAAGTTTTTAATTGGCAGGCTTGAAAGTGTAGGAGAAAGCAGGGTTTCAAGTACCCTGTCTCTGGCCTCTAAGTCCTTAAGGACCACTTCTCCACATAGTCCCAATGCACCATCTATGATCTTCAGCCGGCCACCTACTGGCTTTCCCCCAATTAAGTTAGCCCAGTTGGCATTAATCAGAACCATGCCTTTCCTACTGTAACTTCCACTCTGAGGAACAGGCTTACTGAGGGTGTGAGGGAGGTGCTATCTCTAGAAAGGTTCAGGAATTTGCCAGGACTTTTAATGGGGGATAAACGAGACATCTTTTAGAGTGGGAATAAGGTTATTGGAAATTTTATTTTATTCTGTGTGTTTTAAATCATGATTTGTAAGCACACTGAACCACAAAAGAGGTGGAATAAAAATATTTTAATAAAATAA